TTTAAGTTGACTCTTAATGGACATGCATTTAGTACAGGAGCACTTTTTGTGGTTTAAAATTTCCTCCTGAGATGACTCAGAGCCACTGTTGGCAACAGCAGTGTCCAACTGGACATTATGCATTACAGAGTGAATAATTCATCATTTGTCAACTTTAGAGGGTCTAAATCTCAATTGCTCTTCCAGCATTTTAATTTATTTGTTTGCAAAGGGCCTGATGATGTCTTTCCCCGTGAGGAATCAGCACTGACTGTAGTGGATTTGTCTCCAATTGGAGCTTAAAAACAGACTTTAATAAAATATGGACATACGCAGAAAATATGGAATATTAATATCCTCAGTATTCCATCACTATTTGCAGATATGGTCCTGTTGGCGTCATCGTGCTGTGATCTTCAGCTCTCTCTGTCACAGCTGAGTGTGAAGCGGCTGGCATGAGGATCAGCACCTCCAAATCTGAGGCCATGGTCCTCAATTGGAAAAGGGTGGATCTTTGGATTGAGGGTGAGGTTCTGCCTCAGCTGGAAGAGTTTAAGTGTCTCAAGGTTTTGTTCACGAGTGAGGGAAGAATGGAGCGGGAGATCAACAGATGGATCGGTGCAGCTTCTGTAGTATTGTGGACTCTGTGCCGGTCTGTTGTGGTGAAGAGGGAGCTGAGCTGTAGTAGCCACTTGAGATGGTTCAGTCATCTGGTAAGGATGTTCCCTGGGTGCCTCCCTAGGGAGGTGCTTTGAGCACATCCAACTGGGAGGAGACCCCAGGGAAGACCAAGGACATACAGGAGAGACTATGTCTCTCGGTTGGTCTGGGAACACCTCGGAGTCCTCCCAGAACAGCTGTTAGAGGAGGCTGTGGAAAGAGATGTCTGGACCTCCCTGCTCCAGCTGCTGCCTCCGCACCGTTCGGCTCCTGATCCAACAAACGAACGGGGAAGAGGCTGCGTTTTTATAATTCTCTACAAACAGCAAATGTTCATCAGCAAACGTGTTCAGTGATGACACAGGAGTCTATAAAATGCAGCGTTCCACAAGAATTCAGTCAAACGCGTCGTTTCTCCAGCTTTTTATGAATCTAACCTTTAATGTCAGATTTTCAGTCCTGCAAACTAAAGTCTTCAGAACTGCGGACCCCATCTCTTCTCTCAGAGTGAAGCTGTGGGCAAGATTTAAACCTTGTTATATAGTTTTTAAATATATTTATAATATTAAATAATTGTGTCTTCTAGCTGTGGGCACTTAAGAAGGTTAAGCCCTTTTTCTTCTAACAGAAAATCTCTTTGCTTCTTTGCACAGAGTAATAATTCTAGGATTGATTTCTAAATAAATATTTGTTTAGAAGTCAGTAAACAAGCTAGAGCCTTCCTTTTTATTCTGATCTTTGAACTGCTTCGCAGAGATCCCAGTTCTCCGAGCTGAACACCGAGGAGGAGATCGGGCTTTCAGAAGCTAAACTGTGGAACCGCTGCCCTTTCACATTACGACCTCAGCAACACTTGACATTTTCAAAACCTGCTTGAAAAATTCACTTTTATTCTTCTGGCATTTACTCCAGACCAAGTCATGACATTTGATTTTTTTATAGTTTTTTTTTACAGTTTTATTTTATCCTTTTGTGTGAAACCGCTTCCGTTTTATTTTTTAACCCATATTTTTTTTTTAGATTCACAGCTCTTTGCTCCACATTCGTTTTGAAGTGAAGTTGTTAAGACTGGACCACAGAAACATCAAGTCTTATATAACCACTGACAAATACAATTTAATTATGTTTTGTCCATCATAAGCTAATCAATCTTTAAAAGCTCTCAGCCTGACATGCAAATACCACATTTACATGACTTTCTAAATTTGAACAGTTTAAGGGCCTTTAGTTTATAAAATGCATAAATACTCCACAATTCAACTGTTTAAAAAACTGACAATTTATTTGTTTTGTTTTTTAAGTGGCTTTTGTTCCACTTTGCCCAGATGGAACTTTCAGTCTGGAGATTTGTGAAGATTTTCTAACATTTTCAATAAAATGTAGGATTTGTCAGGATCAGCTGCGTTTATGGACCACACATACACACACACAAAAAAAAAAAAAAAAAAAAAAACACCAACAAATATAAATGCGTGGCTGATGTTTTTCTAACAAAATTTGAGAATTAAAAAGTTACATTTTACCGTTTGCATTGAAACACTTGAGGCTGGCGCTCAACATGTGCTGGATTATTGACTTATTAATGTAATAAAACGGGTCGGTGGAAGCAGAATTAATGTTCTTGCTGCTGGAGGAACCTGGAAGATTCTGGGTTATTCTTCATCTGTTCCATGTTTGTGTTTTAGGGCAAAATACAGAACATCTGGAATAAACTGCCTTGGCCAAAAGCGAGTGAAACATTAGATCAGGGGTGTCCAATCCTACTATCCTGCATGTTTTACTTGTTTCCCTGGTCCAACACACCTGGTTCAGTGGTTGAATCACCTCTTCATGTTCTCAGAAGAAGAGTATCTGAGATTTACTACTCAATGATGTCACAAGGAGCCTACAATTGACTTACGGCTTGGAAGGAGCATTTGTCACTAGAATTATCTGAGGGAGATTGGCAAAGCCCATGAACACTGGCTCACACTTTATCTATTAACACAGGCCTTGGTTAATGAGGGTTTACATAACACCAGCAGTTCTCAGTATGTGTAAGAAGAAGATACCTGATGCATGTCCAAAATGTACAGACAGAGGGACGCTGGTTCACTGGGTGTGGTACTGCAGGAAAATAACCTTGTTTTGGAAAGAGGTAAAGGACGTAACAGAGGAAATCATCTCCAAACAAACAATATTAGATCCAAAGTTGTTCTTATTTGGCGTGTACCTAGAAAAACATCATACTAAAAATGAACACACATTTAGACCTAAGCCTACTCAATGCAAAAGGATGTACGGTATATCGTTTTGGAAAAAGACTCATTGACCACCCGCTTCGGATGTTATCAGCCATTAAATGGCCGTTATTAGTTGTTATCTCCATATGTAGTGGTCAGACTGCCCCTCCTGTACCTCCTAGTTAGTTTAAAGGTACGTTGTTAGCGATGATAATAGGCTCTGTTTTTAGTTTTGTTAGCGCTCATAATAGCTTCACGTGGTTAGGTTTAGAGTAAAGGGTCTGGCGGTTAGGTTTACGGTCTTGGTTAGGTTTAGGCACAAGGGTAAGGGGGTTAAGTTTAGGCTTGGTCCTCAGGGTTAGGTGTAAGCTTACGTTTAGGAAAAGGGTTACATAAGCTGGAAAAAACAAAAAAGACACTTCCTGGTTTACCTCCGTGCGACGCTGCCTATTATCAGCAATAATAACGAAAATAACGTACCTTTAAACCTACTAGGAGGTAGGTGGGACAGATTGACTGCTACATTTGGGGATAACAACTAATAACGGCCATTTAATGGACTGATAACATCCGAAGCCACTTCATGGACCGACTGTCAACCAGTCGATCTGACAAATGCTAACTGCTCTCCCACTAGAAAGGATTACATGTGTGCATGTGGATTACATGTGTGCTAAAGGACAAACGGGACTTGTTTGAGTGGATCTGAAACCTTTCGTGTATATTAAAGATCTCAAAAAGCCAGAGGACAGTGTAAATGACTGGGGGAGGCGGACACTGCAGTTCCTAAACAGGAACCGTTTTCTTTAGGAAAACACATGGTTGTATTATGATTTCTCACCGTTCCATTACATGGAGCTTTGTGATGGGTTGCTTTATGTTCAGGGTTTCATGAGGGACTTTGTTGTTTTTTTTGTGTGTGTGCATCTGTTTATCTTGATTTGATTTGAATTGATTAAATTAATTGCTAATACTGTTGTGTTCTACCTCTTCTGCTTGCTGTATGCTGTCTTTGCTTAAATTGTTTGACATTTCATCAAATAGATATTTTGGTTAAAAAAATGTCTTCATTTCCATCTTCTACTTTGCAGAGGCAGCAGGTCCAGGAGAAAAACCCAGACGTCCCTCTCTCCAATGACACTCTCCAGCTCCTCCAGGGACACCCCAAGGTGGTCCTGGGCCAGAGAAGATACACAATCCCTCCAGTGGGTTCTGGGTTTTAGCAGCGAGATATGCCTGATGAAACCTCCACCCGACTCCTGTTGATGAGGAGGAGCAGCAGCTCTACTCTGAGCTCCTCACCTCGTCTCTAAGGTTGACTCCAGCCACCCTACACAGGAAGCCATTTTCAACCACTTGTATCCAAAATCTTGTTCTTTTGGTCATGATCCAAACCTCATGACCACAGGTCAGGGTTGGAACGAAGGCGGACCAGTCAGTCCAGTTTTGCTTTTTCACTCAACTCTTCACCACGACCAACTGGAGCAACGCCCTCATTACAAAAGACGAGGCTACAATCCTTCGATCCATCTCCCGCTCCATTCTACCATCACTCATGAACAAAATGCTCAGATAAATGAACTCCTCCACCCGAGGCAAAGTCTCCCTCTGACCCAGAGGGGGCATTCCACCCATAAAACATTGATCCATTAAAAAAAAAAATATATATATATATATATATATATATATATATATATAATCAGCTCCTAAAAAAATATGAAACTTTAGATTTAAAAACTTTACTTGTTTAACCTTCAGCTCTGATTTCAAAACATTTTTTTTTCCCCTCAAGATTAGGGTCAGAAATATTTTAAGACATTTAATTTAATCAATTAAATGATGTGTCACTTCAAGATTGAATGAAAAAAAAAATGAATGAATGTCATAGAAGTCTCTAAAAATCCTTGAAGTTTTGTTTTTTTAACATTATTATTTTTCAGTGCAGTTATTTTGTTTGAAGAAAGAATTTACAGTTTGAGTTTTCATTGATCGAAGAGCAGGCGGTGAGGGAGGTCAGCAAGTGGTCACACGTGGTTCAACTTACAGAACAATGGGTTTATTTCGTAGTCAAACGCATGGGGTCATAAACTGAACGTATTCAGACATACAAAGATTAAAATAAGACATTTGAGTGGTTTTTCAGTTTAAATGTGAGTCTGTAGTTCTAGTTTTAGCCGATGTGACGTCATCACCGGAGGGTTGGTTATCTGACAGGAAGAGAAGAAAAATTAAAGCCAAATAAATATATTTTTTATTAATGTTGTTTAGTTTTTTTATTTTAAATTGGCACTATTCCATTTTATAGATCAAATCCGATTCATCTTGACAATCATGACTCCATCTCGCATTAAGTGATAAAAACCTTTAAAAAAAATTCATTATTTTACAGTTTTTTGTTGTTTTGTTAGTTTGTCTCTGAACGTGTTCACACATCCCGCTCCTCCTCACCTCCCCTGTCTTCCTCCTCAACGCTCTCCTGACTGGTGAGCGAACCCTCGGGGTCCTGCGGAGGACCTGTTGGACTTGCGGCCCCCTCCCACAGGATGGACGAAGAGTTCTGGCTGGAGCTAAACCTCTGGCGTGGGGGCGTCTTGTGGTCGCCCGGACTGAAGGACTGAGACACTCCGGAGCCTCCTCTGGTCAAACCGAGCCCCCAGCCGTGGCGAGAGCCCAGTTTACGGCGACCCCCGGACCCGAAGCGCGGGGCCGGGGTCCCGGGAACTGAGATGTCTATTTCTGGTTGATGTCCAACTTTTCTCACGGGGGTAGGAGAGACCGGAGCACTGAGGGGGTCTGAAATGAGAAATGATGCTGGGATTTACTCAAATTTATGACACAAACAACAACACGTGAGTTTCTTCTCATTCTGATGCAGTTTTCAAAAGATGGAGATGTGCTCAGCTCAGTCAAATTCAAACTAATGTCTTCAGGGAAACAAAAATGATCTCACTGTATTGTTTCACGCCACACAGCATAAAAAGAAGTGAGCCGGTGTTGTACCTTTGATGCAGGTTTGACTTTTTACAAAACCCTCAGAGAAGTTTGACTCGAAGCGATCTGCTCCTCAGATAAATAAAGTTATTAACTGACGTTTTATGTGCGTGAATGTTTCTGTTCAGTGCCCTGAGACGACTTCTGTTACTTGGCGCCATATAAATAAACTGAAATGAATTGAAATAGAAGTTTAAAAAAAACAACAACCTTACTTCATGTACTAGAGACTGATCTGAATGTATCAGCAGCATATTGTAAAAAGTGAAATAAGATATGCAACACAAACAGCGTTATCTAAAATTCCATAGCTAGCACATTAGCATGAACGATGGGAAACGAGATATGAAAACCAGCCAAACAGCAGATGCAGATCATAAACAGATCCCGTCACACAGGATGATGACCCAGACCTGGAGAACCTCTTAAAATGAGACCAGAATGCTGCAAATTTGGTAAATCTTTATTGTGCCAAGTCGCCAAGTAGGTTATTTATTTGGTAGCACGATGGCTCAGTGGTTAGCACTGTTGCCTCACAGCAAGAAGGTCCTGGGTTCAATCCCCGGTTGGACCTGGGGTCTTTCTGTATGGAGTTTGCATGTTTGTTTCGTGCTTGCATGGGTTTTCTCCGGGTACTCCAGTTTCCTCCCACAGACCAACAACATGCATGTTAGGCTGCCTTCAGGTCCAGGCCTCCCCTGCAAAAGAGATCTGTGACCTCAATGGGATTTGCCTGGTTAAATAAAGGTTAATAAATAAATAAATACATTTCCTGATGTTTCCTGCATTCCTGCACCCTCACTGTGTTCTCTACGCTCGCCTGACAGAACTCTTGGGCCGTGTTTAGATGCAGCTAGAAGATCCCATCACACCAACACAATGCTACCTCCACAGCTGTGTCTCTTCTGAATAGTTTCTATGATCTTGTCATGATTCAGGTCTTAGCCCTGGCAATGGAACCAGCTGGGTCAGTTCTGGACAACTGGTGTTCAACCACTGCCACCACGCTCCATTCAGAACCTCCATACACCCCCACCTCAGTAATTAACCAGCGAGTTGTACTCAAAACACCAAACCTTTGTAGGAACAACGGACGGAATAATAGTGTCTGTGGAATATCATCCAGGCTACAGGTGGTTCAATTTCCAGCTTTAATCTTTGTGGTGCATCTAATCCAAGAATATTTAACAAGACAGTGTCATTTTACTGAGAAAAGTTTTCTCTGTTTCTTTCACTTGTGTCGAGTGCGCTCAATAAAAACCAGCAGTCCTCGTGACAAGAGAAAGAAGCAGTGAGTTTGGGGAAGCAGAATTTATGAGGGTGAAAAACAAAATGAATTTTTTGTTGAAAACAAAAGAAACCACGATCACAAATGCAGGTTTGCTGCTCCGAAAGCGACCGCGGACAGATTTTAATGCAAGCGTGCGTCTCTAAATGCATCAAAAAGGGAATGAAGCCTCACAAATGTGCTCCTTTCAACATGTGGTAAGCAGAGAACGCCAGCTTCAGTGAGTCGAGGCTTTCTACGAGGAGAGATTTAAAGAGATGAGAGTGGTATCGATGCACTTGGTAGTCATGAGACGATTTGTATGCACGCCTGCAGCCTCGCTCCATCGGCTGAGCATGCGAGCTCATTTTTGTGAAAACCAGTCAGCTGACGTTTGTGCATTTGTCAGCCCGAAAGAAAAAAAAATAAATAAGAGTTTGTGTGCTGATCTCTCAGTGTGTGTGTCTCACCAGGCTTCGGTGTGTGTGTGTCTGATGTGAATTCATTGCTGTCGGCCAGGTTTTCCACGCTGCCCACGGCTATGAAGAGGGCGCGTCCCTCTTTTCCTCCTCCTCCCCGGGGTTTGATTAGTTTCTTCATCCTGTCTGCAATCCAGTTAGATTTTCTGTGAGGACACAGGAGACAAAGACCAGGTTTTTTATTTTTATTAGAAACAAGAGGACGAGGGTCTGTCAGCAGAGTAATTCACATCATGTAGACATTGTTTTGTTTCTAAAATTGGTGATGTGTCTGCGGCGTGTGGTTTAATCCTCGAGCAGAAGCCTCGGTGGAGGTGTGTTTATTCTGTTTCAGTTCTAATCTGAAAAAAAAAAAAAACATCCTCGATTGGAAACATGTTCAAAAAATGATCGTTTTTACATTAAAATCACAGATGTGCCTCTTCTGCAGCTGGTTTTCATCTGTAACTGTGTTTTTCTGTCATGAGAAATTTAAAACAGAGTTAGACGTGATCAGAAAGCAGCAAAGTCACTGCAGTCACTTCTTTTTTATTTACTTGGTGCCAGTGGAACTGTGTTGAAACCCTGCTTTAATGGATGTTAATAAAATCTTTAAAATAAAATTAAAAAAATGTAATAAAAACCGTCAGAAGTTCAACAGATACCAGACTTCGGCAGAGTCGTTTGACCCACGAATGAATGACCGTCATTTATCTGTTCGAAAGAATGAAAGGGTTAGTGGATGTTTTTATTTGCCAAATGTTAAAGTGGGCTTTAAAATGTAAAAAAGTCAATAGTTAAAATATTGTCAGTATAAACTTTTAGCAGAAAGGACAAAAGGTAAAAATTTACATTCATTACAAACTGATGGTTAATGAGCTCCTTTCCAATCAGGTCCACATCAGTAAATATTTAAAAATACTTTTAAAATCATAATTAGGTTTATTTAATTTTATTTATGTTTGTGTTTCTAATTGGGAACATTTAACACTGAAAAACAAAGATATTTAGATGTTTGTCCTTGTTTTATTTAATAAAACCGTGTTTTGTTATCGCACACTGCTATGAAAGGCCGGCCATCTTGTTGCCCTGTCTGAGTGTGTTTACGTCTCGTCTGTCTGTTAGCAAAATATCTCATGAAGCACTGAACAGATTTTAATGAAACTCTCAGAAAGCGAATCATTGGATTTATAACCGATTCGGTTATGGGAATCTACCCAATTCAAGATGGCTGCCTCAGCTAATCAATGAAAGCAAACAAGCTTTGCTCTAAGTTATTAAGCTAAATCAAAACTTATGATAAATGGCCTCTTTAGCAGACTGTGAGAAGAAAAACAAAAGTAATATTTTAATATAATCTTTCATTTAAATCTCCTTTTTTTTATTGATCGTAAGAAAACTAAGAGTTGGAACTTGTTTAGGCCACATAAAAAAGTGTGGGTGTGTGTGTGTGTGTAGTTTCCTCCCGTCTGCAGGAGTCAGTTCAGGTGTTTTGCACAGCTGTCCAGGCTGCCTCCCAGGTGAGGTCTGCTGGGAACGCAGACTGAGGAGACAGAGGACAGATTCTGTTTGGAGTCTGACTCCAGAGCACCTCACGCTCCCTGGAGGAAAACGGCTGCAGAGACAAGTCGGAGCTACAAACTGTAGTGAGTGCATCTGTGTTTATATTCATACGGCAGCAGTTTTTATTATTTTATTCTAACTTTTTAAACTGTAACACACAACAAAATCTCTGCAGTAAAGTATCATCTTTAAATCCCCTCAGCTAAAGGTCATTTAATATCTGCAATATAATAAACATCTTTAATCTAAATAAAATTATAACAACAAGCGGTGGTCTGATGTCCCCCGTCACTGAAGGAGTTGAACAGTGAATGCTTGTAGAGTTTTTCTGGACTGGAACTGAACAGGGAATCAAGTAAACCTAAATGTTTTGGGTGCAAAATATTCAAATGGGTAAAAGTTACGCTGTGTAGAAAAAGAGAGGTGTGTGTTTTATTTTATTTTATTGCTTGTCCCAGGCAGAGTGATGGATCCTGGCAAGCGGAGGAGCAACTTTATCCACCAATTTGAAGGCAGTGGCAGAGTCAGTGGGTGGCCAATGGTGGCCTTGGCCACCATAGATGAATCTTCATCCACCCCACTCATTTGAGGAAACTAGACTTTTAAGCAATAAGGACTGGAAAACAGTTTCCTCAAATGATTGACTTTACAATCCAGATTGTAAGTCCAGACTTTACAATTTGCTGTAAATACTGTGCGGTAAAATAAATGTTCACTTCCTGTTTAGAGATTAGGAAAACTAAAAGTTAAAGAAAAACACGATGGTAAGGATTTATAAAGGGAAGAGAAAATATCCTGCTGCAACACAAAACAAGATTACTTTTATTGTATCCATAAAACAAACCATGTGGCTGTTAATAAATAAAATAAAACTGAATTTTAAAAAGAGGCGAGCTAAGTTAGATGTGATTTTAGTGTTGATCTGAATTTTAATCCAGGCCTTTTAGTTTGTAATTAAGATTTTATAGAAGTTTATAGTCTTCAACTAAGTTCTTTTCCAACAAAGTCCATGCTCAATAATCCAGGTATAAATATTTAAATATATATATATAAAAAAAATAAAATAAAATAAAAAAAAAATATATATATAAAGTTCTTTTCCTAAATTAAGATTTTTGTCTACACCTAATCATCGTCCTGTCAAACATTACAGTAAAAATAATAAATACCTTTAAATTAACACCATTTGTGTGTAATTTTTGTGTGTATTTAGAGATTAGTACTACTCCAGAGTGCAGAGTTGCAGTTTTGCCTGTTTGGTGTCTCATATCAGATTATATTAGTAGAAAGTACTTGGCTTTGCCGGCTGAAGGCTGCACATTGGGCTCCAGGATTCTGTACTGGTCCATGATCTTCTCCACCAACTTCTGCTTCTCCCGCCGGAGCTCGCTGAGCTTCTCCCTGAAAAGAGGAAAGGGTGTTTGAATTACATTACTGGCCCTAATACGACAGAACGGTTTACTGAATTAGGGGCAGTGTCCTGCTCAAACGCTGTACAAATAAAGACCTCAGAGTCTTTTGGCTTCTGATGTCCAGACTGTGGTGAAATTCTCATCAAATAATTCAGATGAAAATAAAAGATCCGTCAGAAGATTCACGTTGGGCTGTAAAGAGTGAGGACCAGAAACTAAATGTTTACAGTTTTATTAATGCCGTTATGAGCCCCTCATTCAAATCAAACATAGTTGCTGCGTTTACCAGCAAGTAGAAAAGAATGATACAGTTTGATGCCCCCTCTGTGATTTTGACGACAAAATAAAAATGTCTCATCAAAGCTGCTTGATAACAGCATCTGTCACCAGTGGAAGTTCTTTTTTTTTAATCTACAAATACCCTCTGTAACAAGAATTTAAGATACTTTATGAGTTGCCACCACATTCAGTCTAATATCAGTCCTTCCTTTATCTTTGTTTCAGTCACCAAATGACTCGTAGATGAAATATTTCTGCTGTTAAGTATCGCAACAAGCCCCCTTTATTTCCCTCGGGCTTCCTTTGAATGTCCCCGGCCTGCCGTTCTCCATCAAACAGATGATCACAGACTTCCTAAATGGTCCCGTTCACCCGACTTCAGTGTTTGCCAGCTCCTCGATCAGCAATTACCTCCCACAAAATCTAAATCTGCCCTTTTCCACCTGCGTCTCCCGATCATCCTGTTATGTGGTTTTCTGCAACAGCCATCGAAAACTGATCCTGTTTCTGTGCTTATATTTATCTGTTCTCAGCTGAGGGACAACACTTTTAGGCCATTTGCTCTTCTTTTAATTCTTATCACAGCAACATTCAAGTGAGCTCATCAATTGATGCCAATGATCGACTCTGGTGGTCTTAAAAACACTTTATAAAACTTGCATGATGATTGCAGGAGAAAAGCAATCCTTTCAAGAACAAAAGCTGAAAATTGAAATGGAGTTTATAAATTAGGTTCATTAGAGTGTAGGAGTGAAACCAGCTCTGCGTGTTCAGTATAAACTCTGAATTAATCTGCGAGGCAGTCATGAGGCCGACCGCTGAGTGCTGCTGGACTGTGAAATTGTTGTCTCAGACTCGAACCTTCTCTGCACTCTATGAAATCAGACTTTTCACATATTATCTGAAATTAGCTTCTACAAAACAGCGTTTAGAGGCTCTGTTTTATTTGCCTAAACCCATTTTTTCTTGTTTTAGTGATTATTCTCAGCTAAACAAATTATGGTCTGTGTGTTTGAGTGTGTGTGTACTCACTGGTACTCTCTCTGCTGAGAGTAGTGCTGGTCACGGCGCTCCAGGCTCTGCTCCAACAAGGCCCGGTTCTCTTTCAGCAGACTCTGGTTCTGCTCTGCTAGGTGTCGGTTCTCCTCCTCCATGTTCCCCTTTAGCTGCGTCAGAAGCTGCACAGACAGATTAAAACAGTTTATGGCACCTCTGGGTGTGTTTATATCACCTAAACATTATGACCATCTGCTGTCAAGTAGCAGATCTTTGATTCTCTCTGCAACTTTTGAGGATATTAAACATTTAAATGATGTTCTAAATGTCTCAGCCATAATATGTTTGCATGTAAAACAAGCTGGCCTTATACAAAAATATTAATTTGTATCACAATTTCTTACTATTGCCATATCATAAGACACTGAATATTCAATAAGAATTTCATGCTGTTTTACTGATGCTAGTAAGATACTTACAATTTATTTTTCCTAAGCCAAAGGCACTCTATTTACCTTAAGAACATTTCCTTTTACCGCAGTAAAACAGACAATTAGTCACTGTGTTGTAACAGTTTTAAATGTTTTTGCTGACAAAGGTGTAAAGTAGTTAAATGAACTAAACTGTCAAAACACCGACTGCAAACTTTAAACAAAATAAAATGCATTAAAGGCCAGAGTTCTCCGACACTGGCTGACTGACACATATGGTTGCAGACTTTACAAATGAAGCTGTGCAGAGTTCAACGCAACAGGAAAGAAAAAAAATACACAATTAAGGTAAAATTTTATAAAGATAAGAGTTAATCTGAGTAAATGACTGCAGTTTATTCTATCTCAAACACACATTTAAAGGGTTTTAGCAAGATGCAGCCAAACATTTACTGAATATCTCTGCTAATTGCCTAAATGTATATCTGTGTCCAATTATTTTGTCCTCTTCCAGTCATTTCTGTCAAACGCAGCCCCGTCACCGAGCCCTGCTACTGTACCAGGTTAATTGCTGGATCACACAGACTCAAAGATGAACTTTGCTTCATTTTTCCTCAGTGTTTCCAAATAATGAGAACCAAGAATTTAAACTACCACATGAAGCTAGCAGAACACTGTAGGAGTTGGCAAAAAGTCACGCGAGTTGACAAAAAGATTATCTGGTAAGAAATCGGTCTTAACACAAAGCACATATTGTTGTCATTTAGGGGGGAAATAGGTGCAAAAGAGGCTCGTCTTTATTTTGAATTATTATCTGACTATTTAAAGCAACACCTTGACATCTTGAGGAATATCTGAAAAGTTTTTATGCAAAATTTTAAAATAAACAGAAGAAAATTACAAAAAGAACATGATGCTATAGCTAGCAGGTAGTTAACTTAGCTTCAGTACAGAGGTGGAAGCAGTTAACCTAGTTGAAATGATAAAATACAATTAAAAAAAATGAATAAAACTAATGTAATAATGTGTTTCAATGTAACAAAGTCACATCAAATGAAATGTAATTTGTTAAATAAGATGTTGAACTTGACCTAGCTAGCAGCTAGTTAGCTTAACTTGAATAAAAACAAAAGTAGCACAAGTAGCCTGGTTACAACTAAAATAAGTATTAACTAAACATTAAAACGTTGCTTATTTTAATTTTTCTATGTAATACCTATAGTCACATCAGATTAAATGTAACATGTTAAACTAGCTGTTGAACTTGAATAAGATAGCATATAGTTCGTTTAGCTTCAGATAAAGTACAGCTATCCTGGTTATGAAGGATAATAAACATAATAGCTTATTTTTGAATATAATACCTTTATTCACATGATGCAACCTGATGAACTACTGTATCCTTTTTACTTTGGTTTAAGGAAAACCTAAGCTAGCAGTTTGCCAAAAGGCTATGAGCTAAGCTAACTTCCAGCAAGCTATTTTGAAAATGAACGGATAAAACTACATCAACATTATGGTTTTGAAAATGTGGCGCAGTCCCTTTCCAAATACCAGCCTGGTCTGTACATGTGTGATTTCCCGCACCAATTTGGAGCCTTTTTGTGAATAAAACCTGCTCATTTTATTTGCCAAATGCTTTTTAGCGGTCCTTTTTATGGCGCCAGGTGATTGAGAAGTGGTTTTGTGAGCTGCTGGATCAAGCAGCCGAACACCACATCTGCTAGTTGACTCTTAAACCTTTTACAGAAAGTCAATTTCCATCTGTTTCATCCCTCGAACATGTGTTTAACATGTTTTTAGTATTCAGTGCTTTTTGGCAGTTATACAGTGAACTAAAGCTCTTTGATGGAAAAAATGCCTCTACTTCTTCAGGAGGTATTTAGTATTCGTTTTCCGTTTGGAAAAATACACCATTTCTGTACGGTATGTCAAGCTGAAAATGGTTTTTATATCAGGGATTAAAGATCAGCCTGCCACTGCTTCCCACTTATAATATAGTTTTTACTTCCCAACTTATTTTTGTAAAATGCCCTCTCAAACCTGTAACAAACTCCCTATTAAATTATTTAAAATTACAGTATTACTTTAATGGATAATAATGGTTAATGCATCTTGAGCGTTTCCATAAGGACACACTAAATCTTGTATTGCCCGATCTACTGTTGGTTATAAAACACATGCGTGCATCTGCAGGATATGGCCGCATTTCTGTGAGTTTGGACACTTGGATCATTTTACCTGGTACTGACTGGTGAGCCGAGCGTTGCTGAGGTCCAAGCTCTGATTGGTTTCCCTCAGGGTGCTCAGCTCCCCCTCCAGTCGAGTCCGATCCAGCTGGGCGGCACTCAGCTCTGCCTTCAGCACGGAGCCCTGAGCCAACAACTCCGCCTGCGAGGCCAGCCAGTCCTTCTGCTGGGCCTGCAGCCTGCAACACCAACACACACCGTCACTGCTCTGCCTTCGAGTGCTTCACTGTTTGCTAAGTGCTCTCGAACTGAAGCTCCAACCATAATTATCATAAAATGCTGAAAATCCTTACAAAACGAGGCACCTACAGATAAATCTGACAGCATCTTGAAAAGAGCACATTAATGAGTCGCAAAGTTTTTTGGAAAATACTCAAAATTCTCTCATTTCTTTTGAAGGGGAGAAAAGATCAGAAATAAATATCTGGGCATATGTTTTATTCTTTAAGGAGGACTAAAATGATTTAAGATCTTATATGAGATAAAACGGAATGAGAAAATAATGCAAGTTAATCAGCCTCAGTGACAGTTTTTCCAACTCCTGAGGGAAATGTTTGATTCTTCAGTTCTGTTATGATCATGTCAGAGTTTCTTCAATTCCCAACACAAAACAACTGCTATACTGAAATCCTTTAACTCTTTTAAACTGAAATATCTGCATTATGTCCCTAAAAATAATACTATGAGGGCAGAGAGAGTGAATCAGAAGAGTAAAGTAGTAGCTCTGTCAGCTGGGTGATACCTGCCTTTCCATCATGTCACTTAACTTATCCAAACTTAGCTATTTTGAGTTAGAAATTAATTGCAAGCTTCAATGTAACAACAACAACAACAACAACAACAACAACAACAACAACAACAACAACAACAACAATAATAATAATAATAATAATAATAATAACAACAGGTAGGCCAAGTTAAAGCCAGCCTCATTTAGACATTTGGGATATAACCTTTAGACTCTGTATGTTGGCTTTACGTTTCAACTGCTTGTATGTAATCAGATTACTTTAGATTACTGTATGTTGGTTTGAAAACTACATTTGAACCTTTGTTTGTCAGCAGGTCGCAACCTGTAGCCCCCCAACCCAATAAAAGGGTAAATAAATAAAACACAAGAACGCAGAATTTTTCATTAATAGGGTTCCCAAGTGGTGGACCGTGGTCTGGATATGGACCAAAATAAAGTCTTATCTGGACCCAGATCCGTTGGTAAGATTCAGAGAACTGAATTGGTCATTCATTTCAGGTGGCATGACTGTTCCAGCATTTACTTTAGTGCTTTATTTCTTTTATTTAGAGCTTCCTGTGTCTGGCCCGCAGCTCTCTGATGCTGCCAGCTCACACAGACGTACAGGCCTGAAGAGACAATATGGTGAGTAAAGAAAACGAGCATGTCTGTCACTAAAAGAGAATTTAAATATAAATATTCTGGACCTTTGATAAAGATGTTTTATTTGAAGCCCACTTCCTTAGAGGCTGTCAAATTGTATCTTAATTTTATATAATATTGGTTTAATAATTTGGGCATAATGTGGATTCACCCATAACATGTATGCTTTAAACCCATAGTACTCTAACCTTTGTGAATCTTCAGCTGATGTTTTTCAAGTTTAAAGGCTTTAAAGCCACGATTTATTAGGAGTGAATGGGAAACAGCGACGTTTGGCCCGTCCTCTCTGAGACTGAGCGCTTCGTCTTCAGGACTCAGTGTTACTGATTATTTTACATTTCTGAAGTGCATAAAAGCGCATCCACACAACAATTATTCAGAGCCAAGTGGAAAAAAAAAACCCTCCAACATTTTGATGAAGCCACAGTTTTACTGCGTACAGCATAATTGGGTTTCTCCGGCCGTGCATATTTACACACCAATTTGTGCATTTATTTTCTTGGCATGCAGGCATGATTTAGGAGGAAATTAAGTTTTGATTTACCAGTGTTGACACGCACTTATCAGAGGATTTACGAGATCTGGAACTCTGCACCTCTCAGATGTGGGGGAAACACCCTTGGGTGTGAGGATGAGCTCGCTCACCTTCAGGCTGATTCAGTGTCAAAGGAATAATTCCTGAAGAACACAATTAAAGAGTTTGGGGGGGGATGTCAAAAAAAGACAGGCTGGTGCAGCTGGACTGATCAAACATGATTTTACAGGTTTTTCTCATATTTATCTCCACAAGCTGAGAGCCAAAAGAGCACAGGATGGTTAAACTGCCTGCAGAGGGATGTAAAAAACCAGGAGTAATCACATATAATTAACCATCTGTATGTATCTTCGATCCTTTACATGATAATAAACATTCATGCACATTCCTATAGAATACAATACTGTATTTCTGCTCTGGTTGTCGTCCTGGCAACCTGTCATTAGTAGCAGGCAGTAATCAATTGCTCCATCGTGATCATAGCTGATAATTAATTATAGGACACAAGCCTCTTATGATGATGATGATCATTATCATTATAGACCCATCCACCTCAAGAGGAACTATAATCAGAAGTGCTCATTTTGAAATGAACATTTTACTAAGCCTTCTTTTAAGCTTAAAAACATTGAAAGAAAACAAAAAAAAATAGCACACTGACAGGTTTAGTTGTTTTAGATGGGTTTTGTGTTCATTTGTAACTCTTTTAAAAAGCGGTGTTTATTTAGAGCAAAGCTTTATTTTTTATTTTCTCAAGCCAAAAGTCGGGGAGAAAAAAAAATGCACCCAGTTTATTATTCATCTGCATCCTGATCGACTCCTGTGTGAGATTCCCTGTTTCATGAGCTATGTTTACATGCGCAAAATTCTTTGATCAGATTTAAATGTATTCAGATTAAATAATTCGAATGTATCATTTACATGGGCACAATCTGTTCACGACAAGCGTTTACATGCAGCGGGCTTTTATTCAGAATAGAAGTACTGACATGCACAGAGTGGTAAACTTTCCTTAAAAAAAAACACAGAAGAAGTTCCACTTCCGTGATGAACGTAAACAAACATGAGCACCCAAAATGGACCAACGCCAGGTTTTAATGATGGTGGAGACGTTACTGCACTCCCGGATTGAGCTACAGGTAATACAGATTATTTTGAGCTCTTTCAAAGTTTCTAGTATGAATGTTGTGTCGCTCACCGACCAGTTTTGCTTCCCCGACATATTAACATCTAGCCAGGCAGAAATATGTGATGTAGACATAGGTCACACATGTGCAATCAGGTCAGTTTTCCACAATCAGAATAAGATGAACAGATTAACATGCACACCATTCGGATTATGAATCAGCATAAACCACCTCTCTCATTCTGCTGTTGCTGCTGTGCAGCGTATTGTTTTTGTGTTACTAGTGTTTAGTGTATTCTTAATTAACATTTTTCTTAGTTCATGTCTTAGATCTTATTATTGTTTTTCTTTTACAGTTTATATTTTTGTTGGATGTAACTTGGACACTGTGTACACAATTTCATTCCACCACATGCACCACATGTGGTGCGAATGACAAAGAAACTTGGACTCTCTGATTTATTCAGATTACAAATTCATTCTAATAGAGCTGAATCAGCTCAGAATAATCCAATGGGGCGTTTACATGACGCATTTTTATTCCAAATGGCTGTTTAATCCGATTACTTATGTCCATGCAAACATAGCTATAGAGAGGTGTCGCTGCTGCCTGTGTGCAGATGAGTACGAGCAACGTGAACGAGCTGATCGGATCTGTTGAACGTGACGCTCTGGATTAGTTACCGCTCGCCGTCTTCTTTCAGCCTCTCCAGCTCTCGCTCCCTCTCCAGCCTGCCCTGGGCCTCATCTTCCATCTTCTGCCTCTCCATCTTTATCTCCCTCTCTCTTTCCTCCAGCTGGGTTTTACAGTCCATGAGCTCCTTGTACCTTGAAGATGCAAACCGAAAAGTCAAGTTGGTAGATTTTTACTTTGTTCTTATGTGTATATGTAGAGATTAAAAAAAGGATTCAATGTGTTTTCAGTCGGTGAGTGTACCTGGCTTCCAGCTCTCGGTGTTGAGCCTCCAGGCTTCGGTAGTTGCTCCTTAGCTGGGAGTGTTTCTCCAGCAGCTCCTCCAGCTCCACCTCCTGCTGCTGCTGCAGCGCCGTCAACCGCTCGTGGTCGCGCCTCAGAGCCTCCATCCTGACCGCCGACTCTTCCCGCTCCCGCGCCCACACCTTCGACTCAGCCTCCAGGGCGGCACTCCGGGCCTCACTCTCACTGCTGCGGGCCAGCGCTGTTGCATGCTGGGAGCTCAGAGATGCTAACTCCACCTGAAAGTGTGCAAAGATGGTTTTAGAGAACAGGAAAATAAAATTAAAAAATAGCATATTTACAATAAAAACATAAAATATGAGTTTAGGATGTTAAAAGTAGATCTGAACGCTATTTTTTCTACACATATTTCCTGTTATGACGTTCTGAAAATAAATGTTGGCATATTTTGGTAAATTTGCATACGTTAAATGATCTAGAATCAAAGTTTGTTGACCATTTGCCTGAAAGGCTCATGATGAAAAATTGGTTCTTTATCACAAGACATGAGCTCAGACCAAGCGGGATTTGTAAAACTGTGTGGGTCTCTGAATTAGTCATTTTATGTGTTTCAATAGTTAATAGACGACAAGTGAAATTGATAATTAAGGCACAACAGAAGAGACTCAGATGTTCCTTTTCTGAAACTGTTTGCATGACAAGTCAGATCTTTTCAAATAGGGTTCTTTAAATGGGCATGAACAATCAATAACTTACCTGTTGTAGATGGTTCTTGAGTAACCTCAGTTTAGAGAAATTATGTTTGTTTCTGACCAAATTCAATAAACAGCTAATCTGAGTGGATCCTAGGCCAATCCTAACTTTAATCTCAAAGCATTTTATAGAATTTTTTTGCCCACATTATTATTGTTTTACATTGCTGTCAATTTTGTGTTCCATACTTTTTAGCACAGAACTCTATGGTTATTCACAAGCACAAAAAGCAGCAGCAGCTAGCTGTAGCACTTTTGTGCAACCTGGGCTGCTTCTTGTTGGAAACTCCTGTTTGTGTTACAAAAAAAAAGCATGTAATAACTGTTTATAGTTCTGATGAACATGAAACTCAAGTTTTTTGTTTGTTTTTTTGGACTTAGCCCCGCTAACACTAGCCATTAGCTCGTTAGTCCAATAAGAAATAAACTTTACAACATGTAAGATATTAACTATTCATAACCTTTCCAAAGAACCTCACTTCTCGGATCACAAATATCTCGTTGAGGGTCAAATTACGTCCCAAGAATTCAAATATAGATGGCTTAATTTAATCTCAGATGGAAAAATTCTTAAAAAAACATAAAATAAAATCTTAAGAGGAAGTGAGCTCTTCTGTTCAACCAGTTCACTGCAGTCGTGTCCTCCTCTGTGTCTGCGAGTCGGGTCACCTGTAGCTGAGTGTTGAGCGTTTGCAGTTTAGTGCACGAGTCCTGCAGGCTGAGGGAGTGCCGGCGCAGAGCCTCCAGCTGCTCCTTTAGGTGCTCACACGTCTCCTGGGACTGCGACAAACGCATCTGCAAAGCCTCCTGTGCTGCCACTGCTCTCTGAGGAGAGGGAAGAGAAAAAAGAACATGTTAAGATTTAATAGTGACAGAAGCACACAGAGCTGTGGACGACAGCAGCTGCAGCATGCGGTGCCTTCGTCACGTGTCTCTAAAAATATCCACATTATTTAAATCTGGATCAAATCAGCATCTGACCTTTTCAATTACTCTCAGTCACGTAGGACTTTGAAATGTATGCAACCTTTCTGTGAGTCTAGAAATAGAGACGGGAAACAGTTTTGATACTGTAAATGCTTCAAATATTTAACGGTAGTAAATTAATGCGTACATGTACTCTTGATTACCAGCGCCGTGCAGTCTGCTCTACGAGGCTGATTAAACATTGTGGGAGTTAAACTAAGAGTTAAAATATGTTCAATTGAATTGCAGAAAACAAAAACTGGTGTTTCCTCCTAAATAAAATTGAGGAAAATCTTCTGCAGCAGCTCTTATTTTACCCCACACTTCTTCAAGTTGGATACCAGAACAACGCTGACTCAGGAATACTCATTATTTCTATTTTTGCTCACGGTACTTTATGATGATGATGATGATTATTATTGCTTATTCTTACACACTTCACCCATCCAATGTTAACTACATTAATGTCACAGTGGGCTCTGGGACTTTGCTAAAATAAAAATAAAAAAGACAAGCTTGGCGTTTTTTATTTGTGTATTAAAACAAACTTTCTGTCCAAAGATGGGATATCTTAGCCTTCCCCAGATCAACAAGAGTGCCGCCAGCGGTACATCTCGTCAGTAAACAGTCAAGAGAAATCAAAATCCAAAGCGTGCATTTCCTCACACAACAATCCTGAAGATTGTTAAATAAATGCATGATGGTGGAGGGGTGAAAGGTCAGTAGATTGTGAAGAACTTCCCTGTTGAAGACCACCAGCCAACTGAAACCACTTCATGATCAGAGTCGTAAACTTCCTGAGGAGCACTAAAGATTTCTTTGGTGAAGTGGTCAAAATAAAAAGGAGATCCAATGTGTGGTCTGATGACTTTATCTATCCTGAACATTTGTGGAGTTACACCATGGACAACCTTCTGTGCACTGTCTCACAGAAGGACAGATAGGGATGATCTGGGGACAAAAGGCTTTGATGTTTCTACTTTACTTAAATGTGAAGCTGGAGCATGGACAGGGCTTTAACGGTGATCTATGACCTTGTGACCTTCAACTCTGTAAGATCATTCTTCCCAAGAGGTGTTCAGCTGCACAGTTTGACATTTCTTTATTAAAATATTATCAATTCAGAGCTCAACTCTCCACAGACGGACGGACAGCACCGTACAATGTGTCCCGTATAAACTCCACAAGGACTGACCTGACCAACACCCAGAACTCTTCATATGTTGAGTAAAACTACACGTTGAAAGACGTTGCTTCTTATAAAATCTACTTGTCCGGGATGTTTACGTTTTACTTACAGCTGAATTACAGCGAAGTGTTGGTTCTAAATAAAGTCGATTTCATTGTCTTTTTCTACAAACAACTAAATAAACCTGCATGCAAAACTTTAAACAACGATGAGCTCAGAGCATATGATGGTGACAACTCTCAGCTACTACCAAACCGTTCCTATAACTTAATATCTGTAAAACTGAGTTGTAATCATTTTTGTGTTTGTTAAAGTAAAGTAGTTGTGGCGGACATCTTCAATCAAGTAGACTCCAAAAGTTAATCAGTTGTGCGTCTACACGGAACGATTACTTCCTGAGAGTTTCTCTAAAACCTGTTCGATGTTTCACGAGATATTTTGCTAACAGACAAGCAGGTGTGACTCCAACTGCTTGTGACAAAAGTTTAAAGATCTTGAGGATCCTGGAGTTTGTGTTGGGGATGACTTCCAGCTACACACACGCCAACTTTTAGCTCAAAATCTCTGAAAGTCACTAAGTTAGAGACCTGTTTGTGTTTTCTAAGGTCATTTAGCTGTGGCGGCCATCTTGAATCAGGATGACTCCATATTTTTTTCACACTCAGAGCCGCTCCTCGGTGTGTTTGGCCTCATTAAAAGCCTGAAGCTGTTTGTGTTGCTTCAGCTCTCCTAACGTCACACCTTGGCAGCGCGGCAGACTGAGGAACGCTCTGGATGAAGTTTGTGACCTTGGTGATGCTGCGGCTGACCCCCCCCCCCCCCCACACACACACACACACACACAGAGCTCAGTGCTGAGTTAATGTGTGTTTCTGCGGTGAGAGCTGCAGCAGGAGGCCGGCAGAGGAGATAAGGAAGATGAACAGCAGCCGAGGTGACATTTTAAAACTGATGAGTTGAGATAAAAACAAGGAGATCCGGAAATAAAACCACCACACTCGAGGAAGTGGCTTGTGTGAGCCGATAGCCGTCAAGCATCCCTGGAGCAACAATTTCAACATGACGCCTCCTTCCAAACACACACACACCTCCTTCTCCAGCTCCATCACCCTCTCACTCAGCTCCCTCTCTGGCTCTCCTGCGGTGTGACTGCGGGGCGAGCGAGGGGCTCCATCTTCAGTTTCCGGACTTTCATCCGCACGTGACGGTTCTGAGTTCACAAGAGATTCACTTCTTTTAAGCCTCTGCGAGAGCGTCTCCACGTTCGCCTGCGACCGCTTCAGAGAATCTGCCGCCGTCTTGAGCTCCTCTTCGGATCTTTGCAGTTTCCGGCTCAGACGCTCGACTTCAGTGGCCAGTTTCTGAGAGCGGGCCTGCTCGCCGGACAGATCCTAGAAGAGGAGAAACGAGCGTGAGAAAACGTGTTTAAAGATTAAAACAATCTTTGGAAAAATAAACTATTTGATATCTGTTTTTTCTGTTTTCCTCTTTGTGTATAATTAATTTTTAACGCTGATTCTCTGCTTCAATCAAATGTTCAGAATTTCAAAAGATTTCTCCCATAAAATGTAGAAGCAGAGAAGATTCAAAGCAATCTGTTGGCTCACGTAGCAAGAAAACCTAATTGGCTTCATTAGAATGACTAATTAACCAAATCCGACAGGATTTTAACGGGCTTAAAATAAATATATGTACATATTGTGACCTGCTTTGAGACGACTTCTGTAGTAAATTTACACAAAATAAAACAAAGTTTAACTAATTTGAATTAGTCTCACTGTGCTTCCACTAGATTAATCGTTTAAAAAAAGTTTAACTAAGAACAACATTGTACTGTTGTTGGGGAGAAAGAAACCACAGATATGTGTTCCAGTACATCTTTTATTGCACAAATATTCATCTTCGTTTCTGACAAAGCCACGGTGATGCCTGCAGCAACACTTCAGGCGCCTTTTAAAAAATAACCTGCATATAAAATATTCATGTTTTACTGCCAAGCTGAAAATGATGTGAAGGGCCTGAATTGTATGAGGCAGTTTTTTTTGGATTTTGCGCAGTAAATACTCATCACTGCAGCGATGTTTGCAGCTCTAAAGTAAGGATTCTAACATTTAGGATGCTTTCTGTAGTAGACATTGAAAACTTGTTTCCATTCCAGGCTATACAATTCATTTTCCTCTTAATGTGTGCTGCATTTTGGGAGAATAGCTTCTTAACACTGAATTTAAAGAGTAATTTACAGTCACGGTCTTCTGATGTATTAAAAAACAACACTTTGGATTTATATCATAGGAACAAAACGTCACCTAAAAGACTTCAATCTTTGTTTTTCTGGGTAAAGAGTTGGATTTGGGTGATTTTTACCACTTTATTCCTGCAGCAGTATTTATTGTTAGAAACTACTATCTTACACACACACACATACAGTATATAAATACGCACACCTGAGAAAGTGAGCCAATGTTGGCCTGAGCCTCTGCGTACTGCTCCTGCAGCTGCTGTTTAACCTCCTCCATGCTGTTTAATCGAGTGCTGAGCTGCTTCTCCAGGTCCTGCAGCCGAGTGCAGAGCTCCTTAGACTCAGAAAACTGCTGACACACACGTCTACACTCACACACACACACACACACACACACACACGGAGGCAGCAGCAGAAACATGGGTCAGGCAAAGGTTGATTGAAGGTAGACTTGACATAACAGATAAACGCGTGGCACAACCAGGAGCTTCTCTCTGATGCCTTGTAAAGTTAATTGCGAGATCAAGGTTAAATGGGAGAGCAGCAGTGTGTTTGTGTGTGTGTGTGTGTGTGTGTGTGTGTGTGTGTGTGTGTATACCTGTGTTCAGCATCCAGAGCACAAGCTCTCTGGTTGCTGTGCTCCAAGGCCAAGCTGGTGCTTTCCAGCTGCTGCCTGAGTCTCGCCGCCTCCCTCTCTCTCTGCCGCCCCTCCTTGCGTCGGTCGTCCAGCTCCGACTGGCAGTTTTCCTTCTCCTGCTCGAGCCTCAAAGCCTCCAGCAGCGCCTGGTCTCGCGCTCTGACCAGGGACTCGGACTCCAGGGTGGCCTCGCGGAGCTCGGCCCCCAGCTGCTCCTCCCGCCGGCGGGACGTCTCCAGACTGCGCCCCTGACGCTCCAGCTCTGCTTTCAGAGTCTGGATGGTGAGACTGAACTGGTCGCTCTGGGAGAAGAAGAAAGATTTTTTTTTACTTTTTATCATTATCAGTCCTTTATTTGATTTACCAGGTTAATACAACTTTGCACCACAGATACAAATGACGCGAGTCGAACAGGTTAACACATCAGAAGCATAAAGAAAAGTCTCCATAAACTCTGATCTTCATGTTGGATTCAATTCCAGTGTTTTCTTTAGGATTTTAAAAGGATAACAAAAAAATGTTGCATTTTTAGACCATTTTAAACAATTATATTAATGTTTTTTGACAAATACATCAAATATTTAAAAAAAAAAGTCTTCTGGGGAGCTGGAAAAGCAACAAACAGGAAGTCTGAAGGAAAACTGAAGCTCAATTAAGCTTAAAATAAAAAAAAAACATTAAATTAGCATAAAAATATCGAAAAGGCTCAAAGTGAGGTTCTTATGTGAATATAAGTTGTAATATATTTGAGCTGGGACAACAATGTTTTACAGATTTATATTATAAAAAAGTTAAAACTATTCATTTTAATTGCGTTGGAAAAGCAATTTTTGGATGAAACCGTTTTTACAGTTTAAATGAGTGAAGTCAGAGGAGTTTGAATTCACCACATTAAGTGAAACATTCAGGAAAACTAGAACAAATATTTTTGTTTAAAGAATTTAGTCTGAATAAAATAAAACAGACTGATTGAAAATTATTTGTCAAAAAATATAATTCATCCAAATACCGGTAGTAGTTTAACGTTAGTTCAACCAACCTGTTTACACAGAACCAAGAGTAGTAAATAAGTTAAAGTTAATGCAGCAGAATATCTTAAATCTGGGAAGTTTATTTAATAAACGAAAGTCTTTACATTTATTTTTCAGTTTTTAGTCGATATGTTGTGTTTTTAGTTTAATTTATGCCAAATAACCCAGAATTAATTATTTAACAAACCTAAACTCTACATTTTTTTTTAGGTTATTCAAGTAAATTTATGTTGAAGTGAATCAAATATTTGATTTGGTTGTTAATTTTTAAGATAATCTTGATGATAAATTGCGGTTCACAGCAATAAAAGTGAAAAAGTTGCATTTTGAACTCATCGGCTCTAAACTGAATCCATTCATAAACCTATCTACAACAGGTAAGATGTTACCTGTTCATACCCTTTCCACAGAAACCCACTTTAAAAGATCAGAACTCTCTTTTAAAACGTCAATATAAAAAGAGCAGCTTCTAGAACAAAAAAAAAAAAAAGCTACAAATTCCAACTTTCCTGCATGACACGAATGCATCACCACAACGGCTTTAGTTGAGTTTTTCATCACAAAGTGTCTCAGGGAGAAGCTCTAATTTTCTATTTGGGTTACGTTCAGCCCTGAAGTCAAGGGAAGGAGATCCAACTTCATGTTTCATTTACCGTTCACCAGTTTAATCCCCGTGAGCTCCGAGTCTTCGCTTCTGGCTCTGGTGGTCAGGATGTAAAACAGAACAGAGGGGTTTTTTTTCTGTTGCATGAAGCGAGTCATCAAATATTCAAATATACAAAATTCTTATTTGGTGCCGACCGGGCCGTCGTACAGCTGAAGTTATTTAATTCATGAACCAGCAGAACATTTAAAGGCAACATTGGGGGGATTTCTGTTTATATCTGTTAATTTTCTTCAATTATTAAAAAGATTAAATCAGTCTGCGCTGAGACTGGCTCTTGGACCTTTATGAACTTCTTGTAAATTAAACCGGATTCAGACAGATTATTATTTATTTATGTTTGAGTTCATAAATGTTCAGCTGCAACACAACAAAGACTAAAAATCACTTTTCTGAAAAGAAGCGGTTTTAACACCTTAACATCTAAAAAATAAGAAATTATGAGCAGCTCTCTCTGCAGGGATGATATTCATGAACCTCCTTTATGATTTTCCTTTCATGCTGACTAAGAAGTGCTCTTTTCCTTAACTGCCAATTTCTCCTACGTTTTAAAACTTTACTGCAAAAAGCTCATTAAACAGCCGTTCTCCTGCTGTGGAGGACGTCTGACAAAAAGGTGAGTTTTGGTTTCTTTTTTAATTTAAATGAAATCTAAGGAAAAGCACTAAAAAAGCTGCATCAAGGATCTTTTTTAAGAGCAAATTAGTTTCTCAAAATATATAATAATGCAAAATGTTATAAAGCTTTTTCCTGCTGAAGTTTTTCTCTTTGCAATAAAATAATTAGCTTCTAAAAATATGAGAATAAATGTTTGTTAAATGAAACTATACTTGTTTTGTTTTTCCTTTGCAATCATCCTTGAAGTGCAATATTCATGTTCAATGGTGCGTGCAAAAGTTTTCAACCGCAATTAATTCATTTATATTTTCCTCCCAAGAAGCCAAAATTTCCTCTTTTCTTTTAAAGTAGTCTACAACAATAGTTCTTGGAATTTTTTGTGACGATTTCACACTTTTTCTTTGGACTTCGGCTGCTTTTTAACCCACTTTCTGTCCGGTTCTTGAACCTGAGCATGACAGCATATTGTGCTGTTTCTGCTTGAAAGAACTGAGGTAAGAAGACGAGCCGAGGACAAAATAAATGAGTCGAGCTAAAAAACAAAATAATAAAACAATAGCAGATGAAGAGTAAAGACCCGATTCAGGACCTCAGAGATGCCTCATCCTTTATCTGATCATCTGCTGTTTCAAATTTTCAGATATTAATAACTCTTTGGGAACCACTTATGTTTTACTAAAATACCACTTCAAGTGTTAAACTAAGTTATTTTAGGTATTTTTCAGACTTTCAGCTGAAGAAATGGAACTGAATGTGACAGGCTGCTTGTACCGAACAGCCTACAGATCCAATCTTTATTTTTGGTGAAGCTAATAACTGTAGACACAGCACTTGTTTATCATTTTTTTAATGCATGTCAATTTAGTTAAGTGGCTTAATAAACAAAAAATATTCCTCTGGAATATGGTGGGAGAACCTTTGAAAGGACCTTCAGGAAGCCTGAACAAATAGAACGTGTGGCTTCTTGGGAAGAAAACGTAAAGGAATAAGGGACGGCTCAAGACTTTTGCCCAGTCTGATGTGTGTGTTTGTGTCTGTAAACTCTCCAACCTTGCGCTGGGCGGCTCGCAGGGCGTTCACCGTGCCACACAGCGTGTCTCTCTCCCTCTCCAGAGCGGCTCGCTCCCCCTCCAGGGTGGCAATGACCGTGGTCTGCATCCTGTGGAGCTCCGCTTGGCTCCGCAGGCGGCACAGCTCCTCCTCCATGACCAGCGCCTCGGACTGAAGGACCTGAAGGAACAACAGCAGGAACGTTACTGAAGCCCACACTGGAGCAGGAAATACATCAGAATCAGCTTTGTTGTCATTGCACCGAAGCACAACAAAATTACATTTCAGTACGGAAGTGTCTGAGGCCGCGGCCTCATGGGAGGTGCTGTCCTTTTCATTTAGATAAGGAAAAGAGAAATATGAGGGAAGGGGAGGTGCAAAAAAAATCATATCTCACACTGTGTCCCATCTAGGACACGGTGTGAGAGTTGAAAAAAGCACAGAAATAGCAACATATTGATGACCTTATGATACACATGCATGAGGAAGGCCGACAAAGGTGGTGAGTTTGTCTGTGGACACCGCCAGATAGTTCCATAGTCCTGATATGAGGTGGTGCAGGGTCTATCAGCCAGCTCAGCTCTGCTACAGGTCCACAGATGTCGTCAGGAAGGGAGCGGGTAGGGGAGGGGAGGAGCAGAGCTTCTTGTTCACATAACATCCAGGAGCATTTGGGATAGTTGTCAAAGTCAAGGCCGACACGGGGGAGCCAAATTCAGATAACAGTTATTTTGGGTCAGGCCGACACTGCTTGATTTCTGTCTGCTTTATAGTTCTACTGGTACGTCTCAATGGTGACTCCAAACAGACACATTTTTGTGATCAGCACCATCGGGCCGAGCTTGTAGCTTCTCCAAGGTCGATTCCTTCCCGCCAGCGAGTTTCAGGAGCCACAAATGGCAGATTGATCCAAATACATGGATGCCAACACTACATAAGATTATACTGATCAACTTTCTCTCTGGGTTTTTACCACAGGAAGTGTCTCTCTCTCTTGGTTTTTGCCTCATACGTTTAAATAATTTCTGTGTTTTGCTCTCCCGCTCCTGAACTCTGTCTGACCTCAGCCGTGTTCATTAAACTCTGCATGACTAATTTGACATTTTTTTTCTCCTCCTAGCATGCAGCGTTAGAGCTGCCACCTCTGGCCCCGTCTCAAATAAGAGGTTCCAGTTACGACCCGTCCAATTAACTCCAGTTAATTTTCAGCGTGAAGCTAAATCTGCTTCTTAAAAATCACAGAGAGCGATGACTTTAACCTGAGCAGGGTCTGCAGCCTGGTGAGATGAACACTGTGCTGAAATACATGAATGCAGGTTTAGCAACTTTTAGACACCCTGTTTCATCTCAGTTCCTCTTACTGTGGCATCAAACCCATAAAACGCCAGAGACAGACTGAGCCCAGCTGAGTGACAGCCACACAGTGATGGATTAAATCAAACATAGATCCACCTCCTCTTCCTCCTCAGCATAACTGTAACCTCACTCCATCTCTTCATGCTGCCTGATATTGATTTCCTCATCTTCATCGCTTGAAGTCTGACTCTGCAGTGATCTCCTCTCAGAGTTCCACTGACAGCTTTAAAATCATCTAATAATGCCTTATATACATCTTAATGTTTGTACTGTCTGAATGGGAAAACTTCTACAAGAATTTATCTACATTTGTTTTAATGATTGTATAATTAGTTGAAAAAAATCTGGGTAGGTAAAAAGGATAATTCAGATCTTAAAGGTGGGACTCAGTAGAATTCTGGGACATATTTGAGAATGACGCCAACACTCAGACTAGCGTTTAGCTTGTCAATCCGGTCAGAAATAAACTAAAGTTGTTCAAAGAGCTGTCTGCAGCAGGTAAGATAATAAGTGCTCATAACATTTCCACAAAAACGCTGCCATTTTAATGTGTGTGATGTTCTGCAGAGCAGGAAGTGGAGCAGCGGCAGCAACGATGGTTTCTGATCAGGTCCAATGAATAATGAACATTTGTGTGAGTCACAAACAATCGTCAAACAAACATCAAACTAAATGACTTGAAGTGTTGAAAAGTTTAACCGTGTCCTCAAAAAAACACTGAAAGCTTTGAGCCAGAAGGTGCCAGTCGTCTGGAGACTAAAATATGTAGCATGAAGATGCCTTTGTCTTGTCTTTAATTACTTTGACACAAGTCACAGAACATTGACAGTTATTATTACGTACAGTATTAATATATTATTATTGAAGAAACTAGAAGAGTTAGATTTTCTGTATAGTGAGTGTTGAATGACCGCTGAAATATGCTGATGAAGATAAAACAAGAGTTGCTAAAGCTAAAATAAAATAAACAGATGAAAAAGAGCAAAACACACACTGAAATCAAAAGAAAACAAATCATTGGCTAAAAGCTGCAAAACAGTAGTTAAAAGCTCAAATTAACAAAAGAAGAAGATACTAAAACTATATATACTCCAAAAAATAGCTAAAATTAGCAAAAACTGTAGCTAAAAAGCAATAGAATGAGAGCTAATGCTAACTGTAGCATGACTGTAACTAAAAGCTAAAATGTGCAAAACGTGTGTTAAAACTGTTAAAACTAAAAATAACAAAACTGTAGATATTTCAATCTAATCTACAGTGTAATCTAATTTGCTATACATAACATAATGATAGCTGAAGCTTAAAATAAGCAGAGTAGCTAAAATTAGCAAAGCAGATACTAAAGCTAAAAATAACAACACAAACGCTAAAATGAGCTAAATTGATGCTAAAACTAAAATTTGATAAGTTGTAGCTAAAGCTAAAAGCAGCAGGATGGTAGTTAACAGTATCAGAACAGTAGCTAAAAGCTAAAAGCAGCATAAGAGGACAAAAATAGAGCAGGTATGCTCGAGCAGTTTTCCAAAAGTGTTCCTGGACAAACTCAAGAGACTTTAATGCATTTCTACATGTAAGATTTTTGAAAACAAAGTTAAATATTTTGAAAATATTTTTAAAAGTCTAGCGCTCGTCTTCTGAACGAGCTGATCATCTTGATCTTTGAATGAATCGTGTGCAGAAGTTGTGAAAAATGAATGAAAAACAACAAAAAAGCAAAGCAGATATGTCACTTTACACCGTTTCTGTTGTACATTCAGTGCTGGACCGAGTCCTTGCATTTGATTATTGTAAAATGTTTTATTCCAAATAAAGTTCTCGTCTACCATAAAGACATGATCACCTCTGGAGGACTGATTGACAGACGTCTGTTAGCCACTTTCTTTATTCGCACTTTAAGGACATCCTGTTTCAGTGAGTTCAACCAACAACAAAGACCTGAAATATTTAAAATGGATGTTTATTTATCCGTTCTTACCTCCATCTGCCTTCGGGCCTCCACCAGACTCTCTGCAGCTTTCTTCAGCCTCTGCAGCTCAGCCTCCACCAGCAGCAGCTTCTGCTCAGCCTCCCACGTTCTCCTGCTCTGCTCCCCCAGCTTTAAGCGCAGCTCCTGGACCAGCTCGTCCTGCAGATCAGCCTCCTCCTGGCTCTTCTGGAGCCGGTTTGTCAGGAGCTCGACGTCAGGAGTGGACAGTGAACACACAGCCAGGTGAGCGGTATCTGAAGTCTCCTCCAAGGGTTTTAGATGCTCAGGTCTTGATGTTTCCAACTTTTGTTCACTTTCTTTGTCCCGTTTGTCCACTTCTTTCTGTCCTCCCTCTGCCTCTCCTCTCCTTTTGATCTCCATCTCCTCGTCACATATTTCACCTCTCCACCCAGGAACATGCAGACCCTCCTCACCCACTCCTGCTTCTCGCCGTGTACCCATCATTTCTCCTCTTTTCTCCCTCTCCACCATCATCCTCACCCTTCCCTCCCCCTCTCCTCGTGGTGTTTCCGAGCCCTGAACTCCTCTCACAACCTTCTCCTCCTCTCTGCCCAGCTTCGCTACACCTTCCTGCTCCTTCGTCTCCTTGTCTTCGAGGTGCTGAAGTTTCCTCAGCAGCTCCTCCAGGTGCTGCGTTAAAGTGGCGTTTTCATTCTTCAAGTTTTCACACTGGAAGGTGTAACAGGAGAGAACCTTTAAACCATTAAAACACACATTTTGCTTTACTGTCTATATAAGAGCTGGAAATGGTAAAAAATAAAAATAAACTTATACGCGTTTCCAGGTTGAGCACAAAAAACATGCAACAAATTAAAAATGTGTTTATTAATTGAAAGGCATGAAAACCAATTGGTGATGGTTTAAACAGTAAATTGTTTTTCTATCTAAAAGCTTCATCAACAACCAAAGAAAACCTCATTCAGCTGTTAAACAAAGCATTATTGAAAGAATACATTATTGAGTGATATGATAAATCTGGAATAAAAATGCATTTATAGTGGATTTCTATATGATCAGTTTTTCCCCTAAGAAGCACTAAAGAGCAGTAAAGTCAGAGTTTATGGGCGCATTTGAAACAATTCTGATTAAAAATATATAGTTTTTTAGGTTTGTCAAGAATGATAGTGTTTATTAACAGCACCAAAAAAAAAAAAAAAAAATAGAGAAGTTGAATTTTCTGAGAAAATACCGTGTGAATGTTTGTTGTTGCTGAACAAGCTAAAGCGTACGTGACATCTTTATTCATATAAATTCATCCTTACTTGCACCATTATATTCTACCATGTTGTTGTTTACTATATTTCTCTTGGACTTTGTAAATATTTTCATTCTTTTTCACTTTTTGATACTTTATTTTGTACTCAATGCATGCTTTAGTATTTTCTTGTTTTTTTTGTTTTTTGTTTTGTTTTGTTCTTTTAGCGAGTAGAATCAGTTCTTCTCATCCTGAACATTTCATTGCATTGTTGACCTTGTGTTAACCTGCATATAACAAATAAACAACTTAACATAACATCAATAACTGAAAAGTACAAAGAAAACCCTAAAAAGAGCAAAAAAAGCTAAAATTACCAAAACAGTTTATGAAAAAGCTAGCAGGAAGAAACTGAAAGTAGCAGAAACTTGCTGAACTCAGCAAAAGAAAATAAGATAAAAGGAGTGTCAAAGTCTGAATTAGCATAAAAAACCAAAAGGAACACAAAACAGCTGGAATTAGAAAAAAGAAGCTTAACAGAGCACAAAACAGCTAAAATTAGCAGAAAATCAGCTGAAAGTTGCACAAAAAGCTGAAATTTGTCAAAAGAAGCTGAATTGCAATTAGCCAAAAGGTATCAAAAATAAAATTAAGTAAAAAAAAAAAAAACATGGAAATGTAGATGAGAAAGCAGGAAAAAAAGCTGAAATTCGCAGAAAGAGGTTAAAAGGAGCATTAAAAGCAGAAAAAAGGGGCTGGAATTAGGAGAAAGAAGCTGAAAGGAGCAGGAAAGAAGCTGAAAAAGCTGAAACTGAACAAAAGGTGGAATGAGCAGTAAAAGGTTGTAAACAGAACAAAGTGTCTAAAGGATGTGAAGAGAGCTCCATTTACCTTTAATGAGAAAAACAAGGCCAAAAAAGCAAAAATTTGACAAATACCAAAAGTCATAGACATGTCCTGAATGAGCTGAATGTTTTCATATATGAATTGTTATAATGACGTGAAAATAAGATGCCAAAAATGTGCAGAAGAAAATCAGATCTGAAGTGTGCTTTAAAAAAATCTGAACAAAAATAACGAGTGGCTGATTTTGCTCCATGAGACCCTCGGAGGGTTAAAGAAATGCATATCACCCGCCACCTTTCAGGCAGTTTTAGACTCAAATGCTGAAAAAAGCTGTTTGGGTCAAACATTAAAAGAACTGTATGTTCGCACGATATCACAAAGTATGTATGTGTTGTGAAGCACTCTCAGCTACTACCACATCAACTCTTAGCTCAATATAACACTGACTGAGTTACAGCCATTGTTGTTTTGGCTAATGTCAGTTAGCCGTGGCAGCCAGTTTAAAATGGACTGACTCCCAATGACACACACAAAATAATTCAATCCTGAGAGTTTGATTCAAATTCGCCCAGTGGTTCATGAGATATTCTGCTAACAGACATGACTCCTGAAGGTAAAGCAGCAAACTGAGCTCCATCTAACTGACTCAGTCACTTCTTATACAAATGAAAGTCTCTTTAATAAATATGATTTCAGTGTAAACGTGTATTAAATATGGTATTCATTTTAATTACACTCTTTGACATGAGGTGCTACAACGAAAGGTTTTGTACTTTTGCAGTTTTCATGAAGTTTCCGCTGAGCTGCCGCAGCACAATGGAGGTCAGATGAAGCAATCACGATGCGATTGAAGCATCTTTATTTCAAGAGGTTTCTAAAAATGGATCAATAGATGAAATTCCTGAAACTGACAAGTCTATACTTTTTATATATATTTAAAAAAAAAACATTTGAATGCAAGCTGAATGCCTTCACTTCAATCACTCCTGATTGCGTTCATTTAAATGTTTAGTGACTGTGCACCGAGGTGAAAATATGAGGATCAGGCCACTGGTTGAATACTTCTTGAGTGTAATAGTGTGAATGTTTATGAAGCATTCACTCTATTGTGATCCATTTTTCTTCCGTACGTTTTTCAGCATTTTTCTCGTTCCACAATTTTTGTGCCATTTCTACAAATCATACATCAAAACCTTCAGCTATTTCAGGACAGTCCTGCTATGACTTTTGGTATTGGTGCAACTTTAGCTTTTTGAAATGTTTAGCCTTTTCTGCCACGTTTTGACTCAAATAATGAATTGAGCTCATTTTACCTCCTTCAAATCTTTAGATCTGTTTACAACCTTTTACTGTTCCTTTCACATTTTGTTCTGGTTCAGATTCTTTCAGCTTCCTTGTGCAAATTTATACTGGTTTTTTCAGCTACTTTCACCTAATTTCAGCTGTTTTGTGCTCTTTTCAGGATCTTTTGTGCTTCTTCTAACTTATTTCTGCTGATTTCAACTTGTTTTCCTCCTTTCAGCTTATTTCTGCAAGTTTCAACTTTTTCTGCTATTTCAGCCATTATTTAGCTTTTTTTATGTTAATTTTAGCCTTTTTAGCAAATTCCACATTTTTTGCACTCGTTTCAACCTCTCCAGTTCCTTCTGGTAATTTAACCTTCTCTCAGAATTTTTAGCTACTTTTTAGCCATGTGTTGTGCAGATTTCAGCTTTTTCCAGATAATTTCCACTTTTTGTGATCATTTCCGCTTCTTTCAGCCTAATTGGACAAATGTGTTCTTTCTGCTTTCGTCTGCTAATTTAAACTTGTTCAACCTTTTCAGCTACTTTGTTAGCGTTTTTAGCTAATTTCAGCTGTTTTCAGATAAATTCAAGTTTTTCATGGTACTTTTTGCTACCTAATTAACTTCTTTATGGTAATTTCAGCTTGTTATGCTCCTTTAAGCTTTATTCTGTTAGTTTCAGCTTTTTCTGCTATTTCAGTTACTATTAGCTGTTTTATGCTAAATTATTTTTTTCAGCTAATTCCACATTCTTTTTAGCTTATTTCAGCTCTGTCTGCTTCCTTCTGGTAGTTTAAGCTTCTTTCTGCCTTTTCAGCTATTTTTTTTAGTTAATTTCAGCTTTTTTAGTTAATTTCCTAATTTTTGTGCCAGCAAATGTGTTCTTTCTGTTTTCGTCTGCTAATTTAGGTTGGTTCTTCCATTTAATGCTACATTTCAGCATGTTTTTAAGCTAATTTCAGCATGTTCTTGTGCAATAAGCATTCACACTGCATTTTCACAGGAAATGCAATTTCTCTAGTTAATATTATGATCATAAACCTTATTTGCATTCTGCCAGGTTTTGACACATTCTTACGGGTAGGATTTTAAAACTTTCTTGACTTTTCCTAAACCGACAAGTTTTTTTTAAATTATTATTATTATTTTAAGCACATAAACACATCACATTGGGGGAGTGGTGGCGCAGAGGTTAGAGAAGGTGGGCCTGTGATCGGAAGATTGCCGGTCCAAGCCCCAGTACCGACAACATCAAAAATGTGGGTGGGGTAGGTGAAGCACCCACACCTGCCCCCACACCCATTCACCCCACTCTGGGCCCATGAGCAAGGCCCTTAACCCCCCCATCTGCTCCCTAAACAGGTCTTTCTTGAAAATGAGTTCTCGTGGCTCAATGAGACTACCTGGATAAATAAAGGGTAAATGAAAAAACATCTGAAGCTATTAGCTCATAATTACTGCATTTGGAAACTCAAAACTAAGCACATATTTTTATCACCTGCTGCAAACAGGGTGCATACAGTTGTGCCCGCATCTGAGTGTTTGACTGTCTGAACTGTTAGCAAAATATCTTGTAAACCACTGGCTGGGTTTTAATGTGAGGTAAAGGTCTGACTTTCCTTAACTGCACTCTATTCAAACATTTGTTGAACTAATGACAAAAGATTAAAGAAGGTTTGGTTGTTTGCAGCATAAATAAAGATGATTTCAGCTACTTCTGCTCACCTCCCTGAGTGTGTTCTGATGCTTCAGCTCCCGCTCATCCTTCACATCCAGAGAATCAGCCTGCAGTCAGCAAACAGGCAGGAAACAGACATTCGTTGCACCGTTTATATCTAAACCTGATTGGATGAATTCACATATGACGCTTACATACATTTGACACTTTGAAGTTTAAAACTCATCTAACAAACAGACAACAAAGTACAGATTATTTCAAGGAGTGGTGACCTTCACGCTCTGAACCCTGACCTCCTGCTGGGCCTGCAGCTCCTCCAGTCGTCTCCTCAGCTCGGCGTTCTCCTGCTCGGCTCCCAGCAGCCTCAGCGTCGAAGCCTCGCCCACTTCGACACTCAGAGGCTTCTGATCTGAGACAGAAAGGAGAAGGAAATAGAAAAAAAAAAAAAAAGAAGAAAGAAACAAGTAGTTTCAGTCAATTTTCTCTTAAATAAAAAGCAACAAAGAGGCGAGTCCTCTGACCGATCAGTTCTGCGAGCTCCTCGTCAGAATCCAGCTCCAATTGAAGGAAGCGCTCGTGAATTGAAACGATCGAAGTGGGAATGTTCCCCTTGGAAGTTCTCCGGTGCCTCAGGTCAGCCTCCAGGCTCAGGTTCATTTCCAGCAGCTCGTCGACCCGTTGCCTCTCGGTGTCCCGCTCCTGCAGATGTAAACACGTTAAAAAGCTTGTCGGAATGAGAGAAATGCGTTTTCTGCTCAAGAATCTGAAAGAACATGTTCTTAAGACAAAAAGCTTCACCAATATCTGCAGCCGAGCGCTGGAGACAAAATCAAACATTTATATAAAATGTAGTTTGTGAACGCTGAGAGCTGAATGACTGCTGAGGATGGTTAAAGAAGCTGAAACTACTGTAAGCCAAAAGTAGCAACACATTATTTAAAACCAATGAAACACTAGTTTAAAGTAGCAAAACACTAGCTAAAAGAAGTTAAATGTTAGCTAGAACTTAAAATTTGCTAAGTGCAGGCTAAAAGTTTCACAGTGCTAAAAGCAGCAAAACTTGGCAAATTGCGAAAAGCTATCCAAAAGCTTAAAGCTTAAACTAGCTAAAAGCTAAACATTGAAAAAAAAAAGTAAAATGTGACAAAAATGTTAGCTGAAAGCCTAAAGTAGCAAAACACTAGCTAAAGGAAACAAAATGCTGGCTAGAAGATAATACCAGCAAAACAATCATTAATTGTAGCTAAATGCTAGCAACAAGTTTAATAACAGCAAAATACAAGATAAACGCAGCACAATGCTAACGAAAACAAGATTAATGCTATACAAATGCTGTAGTAGCAAAATGCTAACTAAAAGCAGTAAAATATGAACAGCTAATCAAAAATAAAAAAGCTAGCTGAAAGCTACAAATAACAAAAGAACTAGCTGAAAATGAAAAATAGCAAATGGACCAGCTAAAAGCTAAATGTAGCATAAGTATTCATAATTAAAAGTAGCAAATGGAAACAAACAAAATAAAAAGTGCTGAATTAAATATTAATAAGCATATTTGAAAAGAGTTCAGAGTATTTCTTTGGGAAAACTTTTGTTATCCAGGTTGTTTTTGGAAAAGTACAAAAGTTATAATAACCAAATGTTATAGCACAATATATCTGATTGGCTGAACGGTTTGATATATGAAAAGTGAGTCCAAAAGAGCTTAAAGAGAAACAGGAAGACAACAGTGTGAACGCCAACTCATCATTCACAGATTTATGCCTCTTAGCTCCACCCACCGCTTCAACGTCCATGATGTGTTGACGCAGCAGCAGATTGTCCTTCTCCAGCTCCCGTAGTGATGAGCAGCGGGTTCGTGCGTCGGCCAGTTGTTCCTCCAGCAGAGTTTTAGTTTCATGCAGCGCTGCGCACAGCTGCTGCTGCTCCTGCAGGGGGCACCAAACACAGGAGACAAAGACGAGTCGTTCCTAAATCCGAGAAATGTCAAAAAGTTCAGGACAGGTGAAAAGTTTTCTTATCAGTTGTTTTAGCAACGCGGTGTGAGCCTCATCTGTTCTCTCAGTTTATTCTGCAGCCATGTCACCAGTTGTCACATGACTCGACTAGACCATGTATATCGCCCACTTTTCATAGTCTCACACTGTGTGTCTGTTAGCAAAATATCTCATGAACCACTGGACTGGCTTTAACAAAACTCAGAAAAAATATTATTGCATGTATTGCATTTAAAATGGCTGCCACAGTTGAACAACCTTAGCTAGCAAACACAAAAATGGCTACAGCTAGTCAATTTTTCAGATATTAAAGTATAATTTGGTGTGTTAGTAGTTGAGAATCCTCTCAAACACATATTTTGCGTGCTAACAGATCGCACAAACATCCCTTTAAGAAATGCTAGTTTGGTTCTGAATATGTGTTTTAATTTGCCTGATTTTTTTAAGGTGCTTTTACCTAAACCAAAACCGTTTTTGAACCTAAACTGTGGGTACTAATCGTGTTAAGAGTCCTTTTCAGCTTTTGCTTAGTTACATCCGAACTTCGCAGACAACGTTTTTGAGGAAAAGACAACAAAAAACGAGAACAAAGTTTAAATTGGTTTCACGCATGCATTCAAACAAGGCTCTGAAGATTTTAACAAACAGACAAGAATTAATAAAATAAAGAATAAAGTTTCTGCGAGCTACCTTGAGCTGTCACAAAGACGCAGCAGGAAGAATGAATGACAAATAAGATGGAGAAGGCGAGAGTGAGATTTTACAGGGATACGAGCGCATTTTCTGCCACTACTTCTGAATGAATTTCATTCGGCTGTAAAAGTTCCAGCAGCCGAAGTCTCCTCGTCAACGAAGCTGCTCCGAGCTGTAAATCCAGATGACATCACAGCACAATCTCATTCTGCGGCTTAGAATTTCACCCTCGTCCATGCCTACTGTTAAGAAAATGTTCAAGGCTGCGAGGAGGAATAAATAATACAGCTTTTAAGATCAAGTGGTGCCTTTTTAAAATAACTACTCCAAGATATGAGCTTTTAAAAAGATCTTTTTGATGTGACCTTCTCAGCTTCTTCCCTTTGCAAAGTTCTCCTTATTGTGATTATATGTAAATAAAAACAACAAGAACACCAAATTTACCATTGCATGGGATATTTTGACACATAATTAAACGATTAAATATCTTTTCCGATGCGAGCTGCTTGTTTTCTCGCTGATGCGAGTGGATCTTCTCTTGTGGAGCTGTGCGTGTTGATTGTGTACCTTCAGCTGAGTGCGTGTGAGCTCCAGGCTTCGCAGTCTGTGTTTACAGCTCTGAAGCTCCGTCTGGAGCTGCTCGGTCCGTGCAGCTCGCTCCCGAGCGCAGTCCAGCTCGTCCCGCAGCGCTCGCATGCCCCTCGCCTCGCCCTGCAAAGCTCGGTTCTGGAAGCGTGCACGAGAAACAACAAAAAACGAACGCACAAAGGCGCATTAATATGTCAGAACATATTAAACGAAAACAAATGCTGTGGAAGAATCTTCCAATTTTAATTAGATTTACTTTTAAAAGTTATAACTGCAAGGTTCATATGTGTTGATCAGGTATTTTCACATGTTCAAGTTATTTATATTCAAAGACTTAAACATGTGACAGAAACTAAATCCTCAGAGTTTGGAAAAAGTAGAAGGATCTTTAAGGGCATGAAACTATTACACTGATCCAAGACGACGTTAAATCATAAATTAATTTAAAAGGTAATTAAACTTGTTTTCTGTTCTTTTTTGATCCTTGAAGACATTTAATGTCACTTTCCCAAATTTTTTTTTTCCCCAATTTTTCCCAATTTCCCAAAATGCCCACTTCAGAAAGCTCCTTGGATGGAGAGCAAAACATTTTCAAGAATTTCCAAGTTCATGCTCAATAATCCAGGTAGAAAATCCAACAAAATTCAGTCAGGTCATCTGGATGGTTTCTTTTTTTGTTAGTTTTTTTGTTGAGATGTTTCATCTTTCATCCAAAGGACTTCATCATTCCGAGGAGCTGCAACAAACTGAGTCCCACAAGCAGCACACTCACATAGTGGACCAACCAGTTTGCTGGTGATAAGATGGTTACTGGTGGTGCTTGTGGGACTCAAGTTTGTTGTGGCTCCTCGGATTGATGAAGTCCTTTGGGTAAAGAACGAAACGTCTCAACAACAACAACAAAAGATTGTTCAGATGACCTGACTGAACTTTGTTGGATTTTCAAGAATTAAAAAAAAAAAAAAGTCCAGCTGCCGTTGATTCAGTTTGTTAGGATTACTAAATGTTGCACGTCTAAGAATCCATGCGAGCATCCACCACATTAGACATGCAAATGTCTTAAGCAAAAGACGTCGCTACTGAAAAATACTGACATGTAGCAGGAACGGCACAAAGAGGGTTAGGCTCAGGAAGTACAATCATCAATCAAAATGTTTCAACTTAATCTGTTTATGAAACAAACAACGATTAGATCTTCTTGGCTTTTGTTCAGTCAACAGTAGAAACAAACCTGCTCACAGATTCTGCTGCTCCTCCTGTTCACAACTTGAGGGCTGTTTTTTTATTAGCCCGAGAACAGTGAGCATAAATCTAAACATAGAACTGGCCTCCAAACTTCCCAATCCCACTCTAGAATCCACAGTAACACCATTAGGTGTGCCTGTTGGACACTACTAGGTGTGAGAAAACATGCAAACTTTCCAATACAGTCTCACTGAAATCTTGGTGGTTGCGGGGGGGGGGATAAAAGTGCTCGAGATGGGTTGGAGATGCACATGACACAATTCTGGTGGATTTAAGACAGGCTGGAGACACCTGTGATAATTTGGTGAATATTTTAAGAAGAAAATTTGTCAAACTAATGGAACATGTTCAAAAATCAAGGAAGGGGCTCCTGAAATTCACATAAAGAAGCTGAGAACCTGCAAAAGTTGTAAGACGTTCTGGAGATTCCTTCACGCGCGTCTTTGGAAAACTATTCGCAATGAGCTTCCACCTCAAACCAACAGTTCCTGCAGACGCCTCAAGGTGCACCCACAGACGTGGACGCATGAGGGAGGAGCTACACAAAATTAGGCGGCTGGTTTTGAACCTGGTCAATGATCAGGTGGGTAAAAACCTGCCTCCGTTTATTTTTTTATTTTTTTTTGTGGGGGGGGGGGGGGGGGGGGAAGCAGTGGGGGTTATAAACTGTTAATTTCTCCTGGGAGAGATGTTTAGCAACTCTGTGAATGATTTGGCTGTAAAGTGCAAAGTCACATTTCTAAGAATAAACCACTAATCAGTTTTGCAATTATATTGCTGCTTTGTAAACTAGATAAATTGCATTTCCTGCGAAAATGCAATGTGAATGCTTTTCATAGAAGAACTTGCTTAAAAACTGCTGAAAATAGCTAAAAAACATTCTGAAATGTAGCTGAAATGGAAGAACCAGCCTAAATTAGCAGAAGAAATCAGAAATAACACATATTTCCTGAACTGAGTTTAAAAAAGCAGAAATGAGCACATAAATTAGTAAATTAACAAAAAAAAAAAGCTGAAATTAGCATGCAAAAAAAGGCTGAAAAGTAGCTGAAAAGGCAGAAAGAAGCTTAAACTACCAAAAGGAAGTGGAAAAAACTGAAATGAGCTTAAAAAATGTGGAATTAGCTGGAAAAAACTAAAATTAGCATTAAAAGAGCTAAATAGTAGCTGAAAGAGCACAAAAAGCTGAAACTAGCAGAAAAAAAAAGCCAAAATGATCATAACAAGCTGAAATTAGCATAAAGAAGTTAACTGGACAGTAGCAGAAATTAGCATGAAAAACTTGAATTTATCTGAAAACAGCTGAAATTAGCTAAAAAATGATAAAAAGCTAGCTGAAAGTTAGAACAAGCTTAAATTAATAGAAGAAAGCAGAAAGAACAGGTTTGCCCAATAAGGCTGAAAGAAACAGAAATGAGCACAAAAAAAGTGCAAATTATCTGAAAAAGAGTGAAATTAGCAAAAAAAGTAGATAAAAATGCAGAAAGAAGCTTAAGTTACCAGAAGGAACTGGAGAGAGCAAATTATTGCAAAAAATGTGGAATTAGCTGAAAAGACTAAAATTAACTTAAAACAGTTAAATAGTAGCAGAAATAAACTGAAAGGAGCATAACAAGCTGAAATTAGATGAAATAATTTAATTGGGCTGAAAGTAGCTGAAATTAGCTACCAATGCTAAAAATGTAGCTGAAAAGGTAGACAGGCACCCTTCTCCTGAACGAGCTGAGCGTTTTGATATTAGATTTGTTGAAATAGCACAAAAATTGTAGAACGAGAAAGACGCTGAAAAACGTACGGAAGAAAAATGGATCACAATAGTGTGAATGCTTCATAAACATTCACACAAATATGTAAAAGCTTTCGTCAAAATATAGATTTCTTGTTTGTTTGGTTGCTTCAGCCTTTTAGTGCATCTCTAAAGCAACAAACAAGAACCCAAAGCACTAACCCCGCCATGATTTGTGTGTACCTCTTTTTGAAGTTTCTTCAGTTGATCTTCCATCGTCTGAACCTCCTGCTTGAAATCCAGAATCTGATCACCTTTGTCTTCCCTAAAAAATGCACAACCATCAGCTCCGCAAACAGTTAAAACTCGACTTGTGTTTCTGATACTTTTATTTTGTCAGACCTGGTACGGCTTGGTGTTTTAATTTCCTCCCACTGACCAGAAATACAGGTTTGGTTTATTGGTAACTCTAAACTGTCTCCAGGTGTGGGTGAGAGTGTGAATGCTTGTGTGTCTCTGTGTCCCAGTGATGGACTAGCAACCAGTCCGGGGGGTCCCCCCCCCCCCCCCCCCCCCCCCCCGCCTCTTGCTCAGAAAGATAGAGGCCAACTCCCCGCGACACGGAAAGAAAATGGATGGATTACTTGGCTAATAAATGTAGGATTAAATTAGATTAGGTGCTAGAAACAGAATAAAATCAGAAGTGATCATTTTTGACCTTTACCTAAACTTTGACCTTTCGGACGCATTTAAAACACTGAGTGAATTAGATTGGAGCAACACATTCGTTGCTGAGGAACGACTCGTTTTTGTGCGCTGAGAAGAGCGACATAATTTGCACATTAATAACGATGACCTTTATCACAACTTTCCTGGAGGTTCTCCAGGGTTTGTGCTTTACACAAACACACACTCACAGTTGTTGTTTGAGGCGGCGGAGTTTGGCCTTGCTGTCTGCCAGCTGGAGCGTCAAGCTCTGGGGGGCTTCGTCACCGTGGCCGCCCAGGGGTGCCAGCGTGGACTCAACCTGAGCTTTCTGCTCCGCTATCCTCTGAAAGAAGGCAGACAAAACTCTTAAAATTAATTTAATAATGCGTTTAATTTCACATTTTCACACCAAATTCAAGCTCAGTATTAGTAAAACTCACTGGGTTGTAGCCATTTCTGTGTAGGCTACGGTTGATTAGCTGTGGCTGCCATCTTGAATTGGGATGGCTCCAAAAGTTCCATCTTTACTAATCTAATTGGGTTTGTTATTTTTGTAATTTAACTGTATTAAATTATATTTGCATGCTATATTTCAGTATGTAAGCCTGAATTCTCCTGCAGGTCTCAGCCAGAACACAAGTCATTATTCAGTGATTTTTGAGCGTCCATACCTCCAGGTGTGCATCTCTCTGTGCCAGCAGGTTCTGGATCTGTTTGGCCATGGAGCTGAAGACCGGCTGCAAGTCTGAGCTTTCAGCCTCCACCAGCTCCTCCCACTGAAGCGGCAGCACCGTGCGACGGTCCTGAGTCACCTGCAGCAAGGACAGTTTTCTCAGCTCTCTATGACAAAATCGATGCAAGTTTGACACAACTGGCAGATCTGGGGGCAAACAGCCCAGACAGCGAGAGCGTTCTGTGAATACCAAGCATCTGTGATGATCGAGGGGGGGTCGGGTTCCACATTCTGTCAGGGAAAGTTATCCAAAAAGGCCTGACTAATGCATGCAAAACTAATGATGATGTTGACGGCTTTGAAATGTCCGCAGGCGGACGCCATATGAACAGGAAGCAGGGGGCTGCATCCATCCACACCTCTCACCTCCTGTGATTTATTAGGCTGAAGAATTTGGCATTACAAAGGCTGGCGGGCAACTTCAGAAATCCAGCCACGCTGGTGCGCTACATGCTGTTTTGGTAATGCTGGCAATTATTCATGGGGGAGGGAGATGTTCTTAAAAAGAAAATAAAAAAAGTGTAATTTGGCATTTATGCCTTAGAGATGATGGAGCATGACAGAGATGAAGGGAAGATGATGATGCAACAGAGGTGGAGAGGTGGACATGAGGAGTGGTGGATCCATCACCGGGGGGCACCCAGAGGTCCTTCCAGGACCGCCAGCAGAATGACAAGTAGCTCATTTTCACACTTAACAGGAAGCAGCAAAAGAAGCCATAATAGATTAGCCCTCTGTGACTAAAGGGAGACGTGGAAGAAAGACTTCATATCTCGGAACAAACGCCTCCTTTAGAGTCCCTCCCCAGGACAGAGTACCATCCTTTTACGTTTCGGGGAGACGGGGGTTGATTTGATTCGTCTTCTACCTGCTGAATGCAGCTGGCGATGGCAGCCTGAGTCTCGATGTCCAGAGACTGGATCTGCTGAATGAACGTCTCCTTGTTCTCGCACTGCAGGGACCAAACAAAAAGAAGTCAGGTGTTTGTGTGTTAGTCATTTAGAAACTTTGTTCACAGTTACAATTGCTTCTCAAAGACGCTTCGATAAAGTTCACCAGAATCTGACATTAATGAGGAAACAGCTGCTGATCTTAACAAGTAAACCAACGGAGATGATCGATCATCAACAAAAAGGTACTTCAGAAAGCTGTCGTTCCACTCGTCAGACTGAAGCGATGGAGAAGTGAAGAGTCGGATGCTTCAGTAGGTTCGACTCTTTTCTCCTCATTATTACCTTAGCAAACCTAAAAATGACTGAGTTAATTTTGCAGATAATGGGCTAAAATTAGATAAGGTAGTAGCTGAGAGTGATTGCAGACACGTAGCATGAGCGCCAGTTGTGCAAGATCTTTCAGTAAAACTTTGGCATTAACTGCTGTTAGCAAAATATCTCATGAGTGGAGGGATTTTAATGGAACTCTCAGAAAGTAAACATTGAATACAAAAGACTGAGTTTCAGAGTGAACTCGTTTCAAAATGGCCGCCAGCTTGTCAACACAAAACGGTCTCTAGCGCAGTCAGTTTTGTAGATATTGAGCTAATGTCGGGTGTGGTAGTAGCTGAGAGTCATTACCAGCACATATCTCAAGCACCAAGATAAACTAAATCTTGTGATATCCCATGTGATTACGCAAAAAATAACATCTTTGTACATCTAAAACTTCTTGTATGGAGAGAAGATGACTTTAATTTAAAACTCCAGCCTTGAAGGTGGTGGGTGACATGCATTCCTTCAAAAGTGAAAAAGTTTCTTTACTAAATTTAAAATAATTGGATGAAAAAGTTTCTGCACTTTTGGATAATTTGTAAATAAACTGCAAGATATGTTGATTTTTTTTTTTTTTTTTTACATTTTGTGATTCAGTCTCTTTTTAAAGCAAACTAATTAAAATTTTAACGAGTTTTTAGTTTTGTTTTTTTGATCAAAGTACCTCAGCTCAACAAGTTGAGGATTTTTGGGCAGAGGTTTATAAATCAGCCGTGTGAAACAACGCATCTGCTTCAATCTCAACGAAGTACATCAGATTTTATTTTTGCTTTTGAACTCAGTCAGGCAAATTAAAGGTTTTTTAATATATAAAGACATGCAGAACAAATAAAAACAACTAAACTTGACCCCAAAAAAGTGTTGTTTTATTTTTAAAAAAAAAAGAATGAAACCTGCTGATTAAGTGTTCAGATCTTTTGCTTTGATATTGCTGGTGAGCTGTGGGGCGTCCTACACTCTGACTGAAGCCCACTCAAGTCTGGACGTAATTGAAAGACACTCCTGAGTTAATCAGATCTGAGAGCTGATCCTGGATGTCAGAGAAAAAAACTGAGCCTGCAGACCTGCGACACAGGATCCACGTTGAAGTAAGAAAGGTAAAAGAAAGTCCTCTGCAGAGTGTAAACCGTCTCGAAACACACAGTCTGTCAAAAGTAAAAAAAAGTCTGAAGACACTTGCAGCTTATCGCTCTGACATTTCCACTTGTCACTGATCATCTGAGCTCCTTTGTGGAGACGGGACGACCTTACAGAAGGGCAGCCAGCTGCCCGAGATCCATTATTCAGCTTTTAAAGGATACTGGATAAAAAGAAGCGTTTCTTCACTAAAAAAAACGTCAGACTGTTTGAAGAGGTTGAGAAGTAAAACTTGCTGACTGTCATTAAAACTATTTAACCACAGTTTTTTGTCAGATGTTGTACAACAGTAAGATTTTTAAAACATGTGCAGAAACCTGGAGAAAAGGCTTCTTTAAAGTTTGCAGAATATCATGAAATAAAGGTTTGGTTTTGTGATAAAAACTGGAACTCTAAAAAAAAAAAAATAACATCCTTGAGTTTTAACATCTGTCAAGGAGAGCAGGTGAAACTTTAAAAAAAATTGAGCAAAACTAACAATAAAAAATGAACCATTTTCTAAAAGACTTGAAGCTGCTGCTAAAGAAAATACAGTTCCACAGAGAATCATGTTAATACTTGTTAGTGTGATAAGTCATTTGATATATATTTATAAATTTGTTTCTGCTTTGTCTTTGTGAAGAATAATGCAAGAATGTTGTTGTCAGTTGTGTACACAAGGCCCCAGTTACATCCAACAAAAGTATAAATTGTGAAAGTAAAACAATAATAAGATCTAAGATATGAACTAAGAAACACGCTAAACTAAGAATACGCTAAGCACTAGTAGTACAAAAACAATACGCCGAACAGCAGCAGCACGAACATGAGTCTGTGTGAGCAGAGGAGTATGAATGAACACAGCAACATGAAATAAATCAGCAGCATGGATAGTCAGCAGCACATAACAATCAAGTGAAATTACTGTTATATTATTTTTTTTTCCACAGTGATAATCCTGGTTAGAGATTCATGAGTCTAACATCCTCAGGGTAGAAGCTGTTCTTCACTCTAGTGGTTCTACACTTAATGCTCCTCAACCTCCTGCCTGAGGGGAGCGGGGCAAAAAGTGTGTATGCTGGGTGAGTGGGGTCCTTCATGATGCAGGTGGCCCTCTTCCTGCATCTGGAGGTGAAGATGTCTGTGATGGTGGGGAGGCTGACACCAACAGTCTTCTGTGCAGCCTTCACCACTCTCTGCAGCTGTGCAGCCTCCATGCCACATGTTGATGCTGGAGCACAGGATGCACTCCACTGCACACCTGTAGAAGGAGGTGAGGACTGAGCTTCCCAGACCAGCTCTTCTCAGCCGCCTGAGGAAGTAGAGTCTCTGATGAGCTTTCTTGATCAGGCTGGTGGTGTTGCCCCAGCTGAGGTTGTCGTTCTGACTGCAGTTTAATATACCGTATTATTTTACATTAGTGTTTAGCGTATATCTTAAATCTTTTAGCGTATAGTTTAGCATTCATTTAGCATATATCTTAGTGTATATATTGGATGCTTATATACGGTTTCTTTTTATACTTTAAATTTTGCAATTTTTGGTTGTAACTGGGACCTTGAGTACACAATTTCGTTCCACCTCATGTACCACAAATGACAATAAAAAACCTTGAACCTTGATGGATGTTTAAATGTTTGAATTTTTCGAACAGCACTAGATTTAAAATGTGTTTAATGAGAAGAGAAAAAGATTTGGTTGTTTTGCAGTTTAATTATCACCTGCTATCATAAATGTGGGCAATTGTCTGTTAATCGCTTGTGAACCACTGGACGGATTTTAATGAAACTCTCCAAAAGTAAACAATCAGTGTACATCTACAAGTGTTTAACTTTTAGAGGCAACATGATTCAAGACGGTCGCCAAAGCCAATTAGCAATAGCCAACACATAAATGGCTTCAAATCAGTTAAATATAAAGATTAAAATATGATTTTATGTGGTTGTAGTTGAGACTCGTTCGCATTACATAAGCTAGGCCAGGTCCGGTCCTGGTGGGCCACTACCCTGTGTATATAAAGGCTTCTAGGCTCCAACTCACCTGGTTTGACTCGATGGGCGATTAATAAGCTTCTGCAGAACACTCAACCATTGGACCAGGTGTGCTGCAGCAGGGAAACCAGTAAAACATGCAGGATAGTGGCCCTCAGGGACCAGGATTGGACACCCCAGGTCTAAACCCTAACAGATGATGCAGTGACTTTATTTAAAACGTCTTTGTTTCAAGCAAAGCGGTGGATGATGTGCATTTCTTCAGGAAGTGTTAGTTTATAGAGAAAGAGGTTCAAACAAGTGTGGAAATGTTTTAATTTTGCTAAAAATGCCGCCTTTGAAATTTATTTAACTAACGAGGAAGGGAAATACAAAAGGTTTGGTTGTTGCCAGCTTAAATAAAAATGGGGTAATTATCAGTGTGTGTATGTGTGTGTGTGTGTTCACCTGCACTGCACAGCCCAGTAAGAGTAGCAACAGTCGCCTGAGCTCCTCCACAGCTGCCTCTGAGGACAGAAATAACTGTCATCATCATCATCATTACCATCATCATATCCACCGCCCCCCACACTCCCATCACCTCCACCACCCTCCTCATCATTATCACCTTAATGTGCCTCACAGATAGCCCAGATATGGACTCCGTGCGTGAAGTAACGAGTTTCTCTCGGCACTGATGGGATCGAGTTGTTATCTCGTACCTGTTAGGGGGTCCTGCCCCAGTATGGCGACGTTTGGGAGGGGCATGAGGATCAACTGTTGCAGGTTTTCCTAGAAGAGAGACGAAGGTGAAGAGTTCAGCACAAATAATTATCTGGTCCGTCCTGTCTGTCGGCAGCGTGTCTGGATATAAACAGTAAAAGTTTCCATCAGACGGGTGTAATTTGTGGTGTAAGCAAAGATGATGTACCCAATGAAAGGTTTCGGGGGAGTTGTGTTCTTTCAGGTCGAGGAAGTTTTATACAGTTGAGATTTAATACATTTCATGCTCTGCCATTTCAACACTCGCTAAATTTTGTAAAAACTAAACTGATTAGAACTCCCATTCCTGCGATAAAAATCACTGAAGAGTTTCTGTTGTTGCCCCCGTGGGTGCAACATGTGGGTAATGTGGGTAGTGGGACCGTGACGTGGAGACATTAACCGAGTCGCAAAGATCACAACAGGCGTCATCCGTGCCGAGGGATCATTAAAGAAAACAAACCAAGGTTTACTTCTGCCAACAAGCTGCACTTTAGAGCCTGATCAGTACAAGGTTTAAATGGAAGCTCATCGCAGATGTGTGTGAGGGGTGTGTGTTTATCCATTGTTACACATGTCCTCAGATGATGATGTGTGTCCTAAAATAATCTTAAAGTGTTAAATAGAAAACAGGAAGTCAGACTTCTGAAGCCGCCTGAAGCCATTTGCCATATGGAGAGGGTTTTGTTTATCTGCTGCATGCGCACGAGAACAGTTGCACACAAACACCTAAAAACGCTTAGATTGAACCAAATAAGCCTTATTGGCACACGTAAATAAAAACTGATGCATGGAAGGCCGAGCTCCCGTCCCGTTTAAGGGGAGGAGCCTAGAGGATATAGGGACGGACGCCTTCTGTATTCAGGGCTTCGTTTCCAGGATCCTCGTAGTGGCGGGTCGGACGGAGCCTCAGCGCTGAAAATCTGTAACTTTTACCTGCCTTAAAATAAATTAAATGGTCAAACTTTATTCTTCTCAGCCGTTATTCGTGTCGGCGCAAGTCTTCTCTCCACCTGAAAATAAAAGAGCCGGCTTTAAACGCCGTGGTCAAACAGTGACACTATTTAAATGTTTTTTATAAAAGGTACTGCGTACAGTAAATTATGTGCTTGTTGACAAGCTGTTATATAGCAATGGCCTGCGCAAACAAAGATTTTGTTTTAACTTTGACCTTGATTTGTGACCTTGACCTTGGAGCTGGGGTGATGAAAACGTAAGCTACACTTTTAGTGATGATGCATGTGTGTTTCAAGTTTCGTAAAATGATCTTGAGAGGATCAGAAGTTATGGGAGAAAGTTTACAGACGTACAGACAGAGACTATACTCTAATACTTTTGATAAGCATATTACTATAATAAAAATAATAATAATAGAGTTATAAAATACTGTCGTTGTTTGTCCATTCCTCAGCTTACTCATAGCATGTTTTACACTCCAAACATGGTAAATGTGTCTTGTAAAACTTCAGATCTCACCTGGTTATTTACTGTATTGTGCAAAAGTCTTGAGCCATTCATCTGACAGACCTTCTTACACGTTTTGAAAGAGATCTTGATGGATAGACCTCCAGAAAACCTGAAAATCATTTATGTTTTGGGGACTTTGCTTTTTTGCTTATATTTGATCCAGTGCCTGAACATTTCTGGATGAATTGTGCATTTGTTTGTCAAGTTGGTTAGCTATGACCTATAAAAAGGGCTCCTGAACTCATACATTTGTGTTTAACCAAAAAACAATTCTAAATTAAATTTGTAGGCACCTTGTCACCTCAGCCTGTCACGTTAACACAATTTGCCATTAAATGTTGTTGAATTTACGACACAAAGTATTTTAACACAGACAAAGTTGGTATTTGCTAAACCCAGTTGATCGTTGAAAAGATGTAGCTTCGCTCAGCTCCTGTACCGGCTCTGCTGGAATTTTTAAATTTGCCAACATCTCTCATTGTTTTTCCCCTGGTCTCCTTTCTTCAACCTGTTGCCATGGTCATGTGCAACAGAAGATTAGTGAAAAAGTAAACAAAAAAACAACAATAAGGAAAGAAAAATCCATGTAAGAGTTTTACACTCGGATGTTATATTAAAAAAAGAGAGTCATCATTTTGGTCAAAACTTAACATTCTGCACAATAAGATGTCACAGGGTATGTGTTGAGGATGACTCTCAGCTACTACCACATCAAATTTTAGCTCAATACCTGTAAAACTGATTGAGTTGTAGCCATTTTTATGTCCGCCGAAGCTAATTGGCTGTGGAGGACATTTTGAATTTAATTTAAAGTTATTAAATGAGTAGTACCAGTAGTTTAATTTGTCAGTACAGCGTTCAAAAAGGTCTTTTTTTTTTTTTATTAAAAAAAAGCTAAAATATTTTTTTTACTAAAGTTAACAAACTGTGAGTCTATTATTGTTTGCAGAATAAACTCTTACTTCTAGATGCTTCCCGAGTGATTCTGTTCTAGAAAGCGTCTAAAATGAGATTTGGAGCGAGCGGCGTAATTGAACACCGGTAGAAGGCCAAACAACATCATGGTCAGCGTGTTTCAGCGAGCTGTAATTTGTGCTTTAAGCTCTTGGACAAATGTCTTGGCTCCATCGAATGACGCTGAATCAAGCTGGACTGCAGACGCCTCCGACGATTCCCATCCAGAAACCTGGCTCCTCTGGCAGTGAACAAGTGCACATCATGTGGATCTGCAGCTCCATCTACTGCAGTAAAACTCAAGAAGGTGATCTTAATGTGGCTTAATTTGAGCTTAAACTCCCAAAAGACACAAACAGTAGCCGTTATTATTATTATTATTATCATTATTATTATTAGAGATACGTCAACGGCCACACTCCGACGTTGGCTAGCTTCTTTCCCCGACTGCTCTGAAAGTCTGCTCACATCCATCAGAAGAAAAATCAGAATGCAGAGGTACGTCACAAATACAGCTTCCTTTTCGCTGCTCGTTGTAATTTATAAACTGTACAGCAAGAGAAGCAGTGAGTTCCTTTAACAACTGTCGTGCAGCCAACCTTACATTTCTGCTCCTTCGGGGCACCGCAGGATAATAGATAATAGCTCTGAGTTGGTCATCAAGCAGCTCGTGGCGGCTGATGCCAAATGGCCTCCTGCAGCAGATTAGACAGACTGAAAATTATATAGCAGAGGCTTGTTGTTGTTGTTGGCATGCTAATGTCCCCGTCTGGCAGTACAGCCAAGATACAGTTCAAAGGTTGTATTTGCTCAAATCTCCCCTGTGCTATAATTTAAACATCACCACTTGATGCGTAAGCTAGAAAACAACAAATGAGGCGCTTTGAAATGATCTAGGCTGTGCTGTGAAGACCGAGGCAGCTGAGTGAGGCATGTCAGCTGCAAGTACATGTACTCAGAAACAGAAAGTTATTCAAGTACAAGTATACAGTATTAAAATGATAACAGCTAATCTGAGCAAGGATAGGATCACTGTCATCTTAAAACAACTCCAATCTTAACATTTTATAGCAGCTCGTGATTTTATTAACCTTTACATTGCTGTCAGTTTTGCATGCTATAGCTAGCCGCTACCGCCACTACCTGAAAAAACAATAAACGTAAATAACTCTGGCGTGCGATGTTGATGGTAATGTAAAGTTTTATGAAACAGCGTTCACACAGACAAGTTGGCAGCAAACCACTTCCGGACTAGCCGTTAGCTCATCATTCCGATCAAAGTTAATGTCTCCGTGCCAGGGTCGACCAAAAAGCTACCTGCAACAGGTAAGATATTAGCTGTTCATAAACCTTCCACAGGACCCAACTTTAAAAGATCTGAACAGTTGCTTTAGTCTTACATTTTAGACGGATGCAGTAAAGTTTCTGCACTCGACTTGATCACTTTTACTACTTCTAAAGACAGCACGGTGGTGCAGATGGTAAAGCTGTTGCCTCTCAGCGAGCAGGTCACCCCGGTTTAAATCCCGGCCGGGGGCTTTTCTGGGTGGAGTTTGCATGTTTTCTCCGTGCATGCGTGAGTTTTCTCCAGGTACTCCAGTTTCCTCCCACATACCAAAAGCATGCATGTTAGACTGACTGTAACTCTAAATTGTCCCTAGGTGAGAGTGAGAGACTGAATGTTTGTTTGTCTCGTTTGTCTCTATGTGTCCCTGTGATGGACTGAAGTGTTATTTGTCTTATGTTATTTTAAGAAAGTCATCATAATTTTGGTCAAATCTCAGAAATAACATTCTGCACAATCCCATGCAATATAACAACATGTCACAGAGTATGTGGTGAGGATGACTCTCAAAAAGATAAAAATACATTTGCCTTCCAGGTGTCCCCCGCCTCTCGTGACAGCTGGACATGGGCACCCGTGACCCCCGCGACCCGAAAAGGAATAAGCGGGTAAAGTGGATGGATGGATGGATGGATGGATGGATGCTACTTTTAAAATGTACATTTTACCCAACAAAGGACAACATCTACAGTAAAAGAACATTTCTTCAAGAATTAACCTACATTAATATAAAAACATGGGTATATTTTGCATATTTTAGTTTGTTTTATTAAAATCTTCACCAAGTTTGATACGTTATTTTATCAACAAGAGCAATGCAAAGTGGAGCAGTATACACCCGAAAAGATAAAAATACGTTCGTCTTAAACTGACTTATTATAAATATATAATATATTTTTAGATTAAGTTATTAAAGTTTTCCCCATATAATAAATAAATAATTAATCTGTGTCGTCATTATTACGTAAATGAAGTCTTGATTAGGGCTGTCCTAACGGTAATTTTTTTTCTTTTCAGACCTTGCACAAGTACTTCAGTCTGGGTGCTTGTCAATACTGAGTACTAATGCAGAAAAGTTAATGAGTTAATACTTAAATACTACACAATTACTTTTAGATAAAAAATTTTATGCCTGCTGTCTTATCATCACTCATGTTTATCCTAAAATAACTCAAAACTATGGACATTTTTCATGTTTTGCCCACAGTTACTTGAGAAGTGGAGGAGGAAATGATGTTACCAAGAATAAGGTCTAAAGCAGACC